ACTCCACTGAAGAATGTGACCTAGCCTTGTCACGAAACATTTGGAGAAGCTCGCAGAACGAACCTCCGCTCTTCTGCACCTGTATGAGACAGGTAGGAGAAAGACAAGACGTTTTCCTGGCAAAAATGACTCACTTTCGTAATAGGCAAAACACTTTGCCGAGCTGTTGCTCTGAGTGTAGTCGGAGGGTTTTTTCCCTCGGTTGTCCCGGGCGTAAACGTTTCCTCCAAATTCGATCAGCATCTCCACCAAGTCAGCATTTCTAACTTTGGCGGCGTGGTGAAGGGCCGTCTCGTGCAGTTTCGCTGCGTTCACGTTGGCTCCTGCAGGCCGGGATAGAAATTGAGAAAGTCAGACATTATCATCCATTCAGTGGAGACTTTTAGCGGCCACACAAATTACGTAGTCCTCAAATTACGGCCATAATGGAAGACAAAATTTCTGTTGGTAAACAAAACAGTTGCTTAAGTGACTTGTGTCCCATTTTACAACCTTTTTGGCACAGCTGTTAAGTGTGTCGGGGACAGGATGGCTCGCTTACTGACTGCACTGTTGAAGGACAAATTTTACAGCTAGTGCAAACTAGTGCATTTCTAATTATATCAACTCAATAAAATCATTATTACATTTATCAATATATTTTGAGCTTATGCATATCTTAAGTACATTCAATCTTCATAAACAATCCATATCCTGTAAGGCAGAATAAACCTTGGAAGACCAGGTTGGAGGTTCCTGAATCAGGTTGGGTTGCCTGGAATGAATTCAGCACTTCTGGAGGCTAAAACATACAAGGAATGATGGCTGGAATTGGGTATACGAAGAGGACATGATAGCTGTCTTCCAGTATCTCAGGGGCTATCCCGAAGAAGAGGCAGTCAAGCTATTCTCCAAAGCACCAGAAGGGCAGAACAAGAAGCAACAGATGGAAACTCATCAAGGAGAGAAGCAACTTGGAACTAAGGAGAAACTTCCTGACAGTTAGAACAATTAACCAGTGGAACAACCTGCCTCCAGAAGTGGTGAATGCTCCAACACTGGAAGTTTTTAAGAAGAGATTGGACAGCCATTTGTCTGAAATGGTATAGGCTTTCCTGCCTGAGCAGGGGGTTGGACTAGATGACCTATTATTATTATTATTATTATTATTATTATTATTATTATTATTATTTCTACCCCGCAGCACTGCACCTGCGTTCAGCAATAACTTCACGCAATCCAGGTGTTCTCGTGCACACGCCACGTGCAGTGGTGTTCCAAAATGGCAGTCATGGGCCTCCAGGTTCGCGCCGACCTCAATCAGAAGACGGACACACTCCGCGCTGCCTTAGAAAAGAATCAGATCAAGAAAGAACATTCATTGAACGCTGGCGTGGATCCCCCGCTCATTCCAAAGAGAGACGGATAAAGCTGTTTTCACACCAACTTCCCAGAAGTCCGTCCCATCCGGTTCACGTTAAGGACTATTTCCTGGGGCTGGTGTGGTTTAACTGCCTAAAAGTCTCAATGGGATTACAGGTTGTCCTTGACTTACGACAGTTCATTGAGCGAGGTTCGAAGCTACCACGGCGCCGAAAAAAAGGGATTTATGACGATCTTTTTCACACTTACGACTACAGCAGCCTCCCCACAGTCACACAATCAAAATTCGGATGCTTGGCAACCAGTTCATATTTACGACGGTTGCGAAATTCTGGAGTCATGTGATCCTCTTTTGAGGCCTTCTGAGTCAACGGGGAAACCAGTGGTAAGTGTGAAAAATAGTCGCTAAGTCATTTTCTTCAGTGCCGTTGACTTTGAGCAGTCGCTAAACAATCTGTCATAATTTGAGGAACACCCGTATTCTTAGCATAGGTCCGATACCCAGGTGTTTTGAAGTAGCTCTTCTAATTTTTTTTTTTTTAGGCTTAGATCAGTGGTGGCGAACCTACGGCACACGTGCCAGAAGCGGCACTCAGAGCCGTCACTGTGGGCACGCGCATTGCGGCCACTAGCAGCTCCCACAGGTCCATTAGGCTGCCGCCGCCCAGATCAGCAGCCCCCCCAGCACAAAGCAGATAAAATGGCCACTAGCAAGCTCGAGTAGAGAAGTCAGAATATTGAGGTGGCCACGCCTACTTGCTGTGACTACCTTAGCCATGCCCACCCAGTGCGCCACACACCCCACCCTCCCCGAGGGAACCACAATGCTGATGCAGACCTGGCACTTTGCAATAAATAAGTGGAGTTTGGGTTGTGGTTTGGGCACTTGGTCTCTAAAAGGTTGGCCATCACTGCCTTAGCTTATAGAAAAGGTTTCAATGGATTGTTAATGTAGTCCTCACTTAATGATGGTTTGAAATTACGAGCACCTGAAAAAAAATTACTTAAGGCCGATCTTCAAAGTTACATCTCTATACACACACACACACACACACACACACACACACGACAGCCATTTACAATCAGTTGCAGTGCCCTGTGGTCACATAACTGCAATGTTTCTTGCCTGTTTCCAACAGTTTTTGCGGGGTTTCCAGCATTCAGGAGAATGGATTCGCTTAACAACCAACCCTGTGGTTCACAAGAACATGATCCACTTAGTGACTATGGTAAGTCACTTTACAACTATCCTAGAAACAGTCCTAAAAATCAAGTCAGGTCATGTGGCGTGACCCGCTTAACCACTGCAATGGCTTACGATCAAAATTCCGGGCCCAATTGTAGTCATTAAGGGAGGATAACTGTTTAGAGTTGATAAGAGAGAGAGAGAGAGAGAGAGAGAGAGAGACAGACAGACAGATGGACAAACAGGCAGGCAGGCAGGCAGATATGGGCAATGGATAGATGATAAAGATAGACAGATATGTAGATAAATGATAGATAATGGATGGATGGATACATAGATAGATGGATGGATTGATAGACAAACAGGCAGACTAGGGAGATCAATAGATGACAGACAGACAATGGATGAATACACAGATATACGTATGTATGTATGTATGTATGGACAGGTACGTAAATAGAGAAAAACAGATAGACAGGATGGATGGATGGAGTGGACAGAGCGAGGGATGAATAGACAAGATTGAAAGGGAGACAGAGAGACAGACAGAGATCTAGACATAACCACGTAAGTGTATATTAATGGTGTGCTGTATTTTAGATTTTTGTAACTCGGTCTTGCACCATAAATAAATCGCCAATCCCTAACTCCTGCATTTCACTGAGCCAGACCTGGAGGCGCAGGAAGGAAAATGTGGGCTACAGGCAGGGCAGCGCAATGCAAAATGGAATCCGGAATGCTCGACAGCATTTCTCATGGATTTTGGGCGAGCAGAAACCCCCCTCCAGTCTCCCAGGGCTGGCCCCAGGATTTCCATCAACCCTGCAGAAGCCACCTTACCGTTTAAGCAGGCTTCGTGGAGAGGCGACGCTATGTACAAGGGCGGGTTGACCTTGGCCCCGTGGGACAGGAGGACTTTCACACAGTCAATGCTCCCCGAGGCGCAGGCGTCGCAGAGCGGGGTGCTCCCATCGATGTTCCGGGCATCCACCTGTGGCAGAAAGGGATCGAACCCTCAGCCTGGTGCCTCTCTTGGGTTAACCTACCTAGGATTCGGCCATTTTTGAACAGGATTCACACTTGGTACAGACAAGTCCTCGGCTTACGACCACAATTGAGCCTAAAATTTCCATTGCTAAGTGAGACAGTTGCCCCGTATTACCACCTTTCTTGTCACCGTTAAGTGAATCACCGCAGTTAAGTTAGTAACACAGTTGTTAAATGAATCCAGCTTCCCCCCATTGACTTTGCTTGTCAGAAGGTCGTAAAAAGGGATCACATGACCTGGGACACTGCAACAGTCATAAATATGAGTCAATTGCCAAGCGTCTGAATTTTGATCAAATGACCAAGGGGAGGCTGCAACAGTCGTAAGTGTGAAAAATGGTTGTAAGTCACTTTTTTCAATGCCGGTGTAACTTTGAATGGACACTAAATGAACTGTGATACCTTGAATAGTAGTTACTGCATTCTAACTACTGTACCAACCATAGTCAAAGGGATCAAACCCTCAACCTGGTACTTGTGTTGGTTAACCTACCTATGGAATTCAGCCGTTTGTTTTTTTTTTTAAAAAAAGATGAATAGAGTAGAATAGAAAACAGAATAGAAAACAGAACAGAATTGAAAAGAAAATAGGGAATAGAATATATGGAAAGAATAGAATAGAAAACAGAACAGAATTGAAAAGAAAATAGGGAATAGAATATATGGAAAGAATAGAATAGAAAACAGAACAGAATAGAAAATAGGGAATAGAAAGAATATATGGAAAGAATAGAACAGAATAGAAATATAGAACAGAAAAGAAAATAAGGAATAGAATAGAATATATGGAAAAGAATAGAATAGAAGGTATAGAGTGGAACAGATCAGATCAGAATTATTATTATTATTCACACAGCCAGACGTTCAGATTGGGTGTAGCATTTTTGTCTACCTATTGAGTCCTTAGCAAGGACCTGGAATAGGCAGATTTATTATCATCGTCATCATCAATTTATTTGTGGCCTCTCTCACTGTGGGACTACTCTAGGCAGCTTAAAATCACAAAGAGGAAGAAATGAAAAGAGTGTAAACCAAAACAGAAATAAAATCACAGAAGAATAAAGTACACCATGCAAAGGAAGGCAATGAGATTAGGCTTCTGTCATAGGAGGATCCACATCTAACTGGCCGTCGGGGGATAGGGGGGAACAAATCTGAAACCTGCACCCCGAATCCTGGGGGAAGCTGGTGCAAAATAAACCTTTGCTGGCATTCTTTCCCAAGATGTTTTAGTCTGCAGCCTTCTGCAACCCAGCACCCCCCCACACACACCTGGGCTCCTGCGGCCAGGAGGATCTCCACACATCGCGTCTGGCCACGCAGGCTGGCTTCGTGCAGGGGCGTGATCGAGTCGTAGGTGACTAGGTTGACGCAGGCGCCGTTCCGGATCAGTTCTTGGAGCTGATGGATCTCCCCGCTTCGGGCGGCTTCGTGAACCGGGGTCCTCTCGGCCCAAAACGCTACAGGAAGACAGAGGGCGGATGGGGGATTAAAACAGTCCCTGTCCAGGATGGGAGGGGAAAAAACTCGGCCCAACCAAACCAGGACAGGTAGTCCTCGATTTATGACAACCGGGACCAGAATTTCCATTGTTAATCATAGAGGTTGTTAAGCGAGGACCTTTCTTGCCATGCTGTTAAGGGAATCACTGGGGTCGCTAAACAAATCAGGCAGTCGTTAAGCAAATGTGGCTTCCCCGACTTTAGTTGTGGAATGCCAGTTAGTAAAAGGGGATCATGTGACCACACGGATGCTGTGTTAGTCGTGGGGAGAGGGAGGGGGAGGAGGAGGATTGTGGGGTCCTTGATGCTCTCTGAGCTGGGTGGTTTTCTTGCAGATGTTTCATGACCCAACTAAGTAACATCATCAGTGCTGGGAGGGAGTGGGGCTTGTGAGAGAAGGGGAAGGAGGACTGTGGGGGCCTTGGTACTCTCTGAACTCAGTGGTTTTCTTGCAGACATTTCATGACCCAACTAGGGAACCTCACCAGGGCTGACTGCTCTATGTGGACACACCCCAACATTTGCCACCATCATCAGAAGGGGCGTCGCCTTACCTGAACGCCTTTTCTCAGCATGACGATGGAGAATCCACGGATGGGTTGATCTTGCCTTTCTGCCCTAGAGACTATGTCAATCAACCTTTTGCCACGCCTCTCTTCCTCCGGCTAGGAATCCCCAGTCACCACGAAGGCACAGCAGTTGATGATTTCCCAAGCTGGTGGTGGCTCAAATTCCCCCGACACAGGACCGGATGAACCCTTGGGGGGGGGGGGGAGTGGATTCTCCATCATCATGCTGAGAAAGTGTTCAGGTAAGACAACCTCCCTTCTCCAGCATGACGAATGGAGGATCCACAGATGGGACATACCAAAGCCTCATTGTTCCCACGGGCGGGAAGAAGTCTGGGCCTGTGTCCCACTCTCTGTTACTATCCTTTGGAAGAGTCTCCTGCCAAATGAAGCGTCTGCTGAGGCTAACATAACTTATAAAGCTTCACAAATGGGGAAGGTGACGACCACATCGCTGCCTCGCAAGATCTCTTTGATGGACACTTATGTTGCCGCCGCCGCCGAAGTTGCCACACTGCGAGTGGAGTGTGCAGTGAGTTGTCCTAGAACGAAGAGGGCTTCAGAGTTGCGAAAAGGGGCAGTTTGCTTAATATACCAACGCAAGGCTCTGCGAACGCCCAAGGTGTGCCATTTACATTCCAAATCATGGGACGACTCAGGGCAATAATCTGGCAGCACAAGCTCCTGCGCCCTGTGAGACGATGAGTTGATTTTGAGGATAAAGGAGGGGTGTAAGCATAGAAACATACGTAAGTCATTAAGCGTAGAAAAATACATAAGTCATCTCTAATGGAGAGTGCTGCCAATTCTGAGATGTTCTGAGCCGATGTAACTAAGGCAGCCTTGAGTGTCCAGAATCGGACGTGGACTTTCTGACGGGCTCAAATGGAGGGGAAGTGAGAGCCTGTAAGACCTTGGAGCGGTCCCAAGGGGGATATCTGTGAACCACAGGCGGTTTGCTGTTGATTGCTCCCCTGACAGAGGAATGTATCATGGGGTGTTAAGCCAAGGGCTCTGAGTTGCCATATTTGAGCACTGTGCACAAGGCAGCAACTTTTCTGCGGATTCTGTTGGGTGCTAAACCCCCTCTTAAGTCCCTCCAGTAAATAATCCAAAATTCTTGGAATAGGAATTGTAGCTGGATCTAATTGTTGTCTCCCACACCAGTTACATAAATTCTTCCATGCGGAATCATAGATCCTATTAGTTGCAGGCCTTCTTGAAGCCTGAATCGTGGTAATCACCTCTGATGAGTAGCTCTTTTGTTGGGAGTCTTTCAAATGCCCGCCGGTTAGCTGGAGCCAATGTAGAACCCCCTATCTGAAGGAGATTCCATCTTGGGGTATCCTCCAACGAGGAGAGATTGGATACTACCCCAATGTTCCTGAGGCAGGTAAACCTCGCACTTCCTTGTATCTACCACCGTGCCCAGATGAAGGAGGCGGGTGGAGGGAACTAGCTGGCTTTCCTGAACATTTACTGAAAGCCTGTGGTCCTGAAAGCTCTTGATGGACAATGCCAGTTCTGACTGAGCCAATTGGACTGAGGATCGAATGAGGATGTCGTGCAAACAACACTGGACACGGAACGGTCCTGAGATGCACGGCGAGCGCCGCCAGGACCTTCGTGAACGCTCTGGGGGCCGATGACAAGCCAAATGGTAGAGCTCTGTACTGAAAATGGTGGCCGGGAAGGATGGGAACGTATAGGTAGGCCTCCGTCAGGTCGATGAACGTCAGGTCCCCCCTTCTGATGTCTGCTAATAGGGATTGGAGCATTTGCATCTTGAACTTTTTCTGTGACACATGGATATTTAATTTCTTTAAATCTAGAATTGCCCTCCACCCTCCCGAGGCCTTCGGAATGATGAACAGAGTGGAATAAAAAAACCCGTCCCTTCTGCCCTACCGGTACCGGTTCTATGGTGTGGATCTCCAGGAGATGTCGAACGGCCTCTTTCATGAGGCTTATTTTGACCGGATTTTTGGATGATGGGCAAGAGACGAAATGCCTCGGGGGGGTGGAGTTGAATTCTAGAGTCAGGCCGAATCTGATGGTGTGGAGGATCCAGAGATCTGTAGTGGTGTTCTCCCATTTGCATGTAAAGAGAGCCAATCTGCTCCCTATGGGAGAGGCACCTCTGGTGTCACTAGGATCTTCTGAAAGGACGGCCTCTGCCTCGAAAGGGCCGTTTAGACTGAAATTGCTGTCTGGGTCTGCCTCTGTAACCAGATCTGTCGAATTGAGGGTCTGGTCTGGGAGGATGAGGAGGGGAGTAATGGGTGAATTCCGACCCTGTGTTGGTTGAGCTGTGAGGATGAGGATAGAACCTCTTGCGGGGATAAGGGGTAGCTTTCTTGTTCGGTCTCTTAAGAAGAGGGGACATGACTTTACGCTTATCCTTCCTCTCAGTCAGATAAGGGTTTAGTGCCTCTCCAAATAACTGGCCTCCCCTGTAAGGGGATGAGGCCAACCGCCACTTGGACTTAACATCCGCTTTCCACTGTCTGAGCCACAGAAGTCTGCGAGAGGTAACATTAGATGCTAATGCTTGGGAGGAAAATCTGGCCGCGTGCGAGGATGAGTCAGCCATGTATTCTGATGCAGCCACTAATTTATTTAAATCTTGGTGCATCCGTACCTCTTCTGGTGGTACCTTAGCCTGTAATTGGCGAAGCCAGAGGACTGAAACTCTGGCGAAAAAGGAAGTTGCTGTAGCTGCCTTTACCGCCCATGCTGAGGCTTGGTGGGTCTTGCGGAAATTATGCTCCGCTCTCTTATCCTCTGACTTCAGAACCTCCGCTATATCTCCAGACACAGTGATGTTGGGATCAATTGTTGTTGCTAAGGGCTCATCTACCCTGGGGACTTCTAGCACCTCTGACAGTGCTGGAGCCACATTAAAGAACTGTTTATCAGTCCCTGCCGGATGTGGAAAATTACTTGGCGTTCCCCATTGTCTTTGGACTTCATTGAGGAAAAGGGGAGGACAGGGAATGTCCTGTTGGGTAAACGTTGGCTGTGAACAGATCACACTGGTAGGTCCCTGACTGGTGGAAGGTTCAGCCTCAGGGACAACTTCAGGACCAAGTTGAGCAGTGCTCCTGGCCTTGTGAAGCAAGGATTTAAGGAGGGCCGGATTAAACAGGCCTGTGAAAGCAGGGGGATCAGGAGGTAAGTCCTCATCGTCTGACAGCCCCAGCTCTCTCTGTTCGTCATCCCCCGTGAACGACCTTCTGGAGGAACTGAAGGGGGATACTGGCCCCTGGTATGTGGCTGCTTCCACCTGGGAGAGGTACGATGCATTGCTGTGAGATGGGACTCCTGATGCTATCGACTCAGGTCGAGCTCTCTGGTGTAGGGTCGAAGCTACAGCTTGGGCAACAGCCTGAGAAATCAGAAGCTGCATTTGTTCTGATAGTGCTATCTCTTGAGCCTCTGGAGGGCGAAGCCCTGCCGCTGTAGGAGTGAATGTGGCCTCTGGGCCCAGAGGTCCAGCTTTACTTGGAGGAGCAGGGATCGGAAGGCCAAGCCCCTCACTGGAAGGGGGAACCATCTCCACCTGTTCTGCCATGGGAGAAATGGACTGACCTGCTTCCCCTTCTGCAGAGCAGGCACTTGGAGCAGCAGAGGTCGAAGGAGTTTGTTGAGGGTCAACCATCTCCACCTGTTCTGCCCTGGGAGAAATGGACCTTTCCCCTTCTGCAGAGCAGGCACTTGGAGCAGCAGAGGTCGAAGGAGCTTGTTGAGGGTCAACCATCTCCACCTGTTCTGCCATGGGAGAAATGGACTGACCTGTTTCCCCTTCTGGAGAGCAGGCACCTGGAGCAGCAGAGGTTGAAGCAGTTTGTTGAGGGTCAAAAACCGACACTTCCATGGGAACCGAAGTCATCTCATCAACCTTTGCCTCGTTCTGTTGCCCTGCAGCATTGGAGAATTGTTTTCCCAATGCCTGTTGCCTCCCGTTTGCTTCTTTCCCAGCAGCTTTGGGAGATTTTCTGCCAGCGATAGCTCTGGCTCTGAGTTTCCCAGCAGCCTCCTGCTTGGCTGATCTGGCGTTCCCCAGCCTGGAGGGACTGCTGGAGACACCCTGAGCTGCTGTGGCTTTACCTGCCATTGCAAAAAAGTCAAGAGATATCACAGAAATGGCAATCTCAACGGGTTTCCAATAGAGAGGTGGTCCCAGGAGCCAAGTGATGGCTAGAAGTGGTGGCAGCAAGACCACCTTAGTGGGGTAGCCAGCACAATTACAAGCCTGGTAGTGGCCACAAGACCAACTTAATGAGGGTAGTCAGCAGTTATAAGCAGCGAAATCGGTGGTAGGAAGAGGCGCTGAAAATGGCGGCAGTTAAAGCAGGCACTCAGCCACCAACTGAAGTCTTTGGAAGGAGGCTGTTGGTTTTGCCTGTAATTGTAACAGCCTTGGTGTGCGGCGAGGTGCCAACGATGGGAGAAGCAGCACCTTCCAAAAACCGCTCCTGAACTCTGGCCTTCTGGAATGGCCTGAGGGCGTTTGTTGGGCTCTCAAAATGGCGGCCGCCAGCAAGCGGCCTCCTGCTCCGTCGTTACATCCGAGTTAATGAATGCGGCAGCTGCTTCTATTTGCTGACTAAGAAGACTGCAGACTCAATTCTGGCTAAAACTGACTCTAGTTGAGTCTAAACGGCCCTCGCTGGAAGGAAGGGAAGGTTCCCCCACTCCCCTCAGGAGCAATCAAAGCGGCGCTCAAAATGGCGACCGCTGCGCTTCTGCCTCTGCCTGGGAGCTATAAATAGCTCGAGAGGCTTAGCCGAGGCCTGCAAAACAGGCTCTGACCCTCGGCGGTTTGAGAAAGCAGCGCTGAGGCAGAGAAGGGAAGAGAAGGGAAGGGTACAACCTGGGGAAATCCAGAGTTTTGTCGTTCTGCTAGAAACCAGAGCCCATCTTCACCACGTCTCTCCCGGGCTAAGCCTAAGCCGCGAGTGCGGAGTGCTAGCCGGAGGAAGAGGGGCGTGGCAACGGTTGAGTGATTTAAAGCTCTTTTATGACTGGTGGACTTCAACTCCCAGAATTCCTGAGCCAGCCATGCTGAGGGGAAAGGGAGAGGTTTCCAAGCTGAGCCAGGCTGGCTCAGGAAGTCTGGGAGTTGTAGTCCACGCGTCATAAAAGAGCCAAGGTTGCCTAACCCTGCCCCAGCCAGCTAGGAAATCTGGGAGTTGAAGTCCACGAGTCATGGAGGGGCCATAGTTTCCCTCATGCTGGCTGAGGAATTCTGGGAGTTGAAGTCCACGAGTCATAAGAGAGCCCAGCTTGCCTGCCCCTGACTTAGTCTCCCGCTCATTGCCGGGAGCTTTGGGGAAGATTTCCAGGGGGGTCTCTTACCTTGTCAAAGACCCTCCGTTTCCCTCTTCCCACCCCCGCGTGATTCAGACCCCTCCCCAAAAGGGGCCAGGGTCCCTCCCGTTGACTCCGAGGAAGCGACAGCCGTCTTCCTTTTTCTTGGCAACGCGGATCGACCTGGGAAAGCGAAGCCGAGTGTGCAGATTCCCGGGCGCGGATCCTGCCAAGCCGGCCGGGGACTTCCCTGGCTTCCAAGCCGCATTCCTGGCTCAGCTTTCCAAGAACCGCAACCCGTGACCCGCGAAGCCCTTTCCAGGACAGGAGGGGATAAACCACGGCGCGGCCCCGGCCGACACGCGTCACCCCAGGCGTTCACACAACACGCTAAACTCGGGAGCGGGAGCGTTAGTTTGTGGGGAGAGGAGGTGTGGTTTTGCGGGCGGGAGGGGGGGAAAGGAGAAACCCAGCGCAGCTGGCGATCTATGGATCGCAATCCCCCTGAGGACCCCCCCCCTCTAAAAGGGTTAGTTAGTAACCAGGACTAGCCGGTTGTGGAAACGCAGCTTAATGCCGGGTCAAGAGCGGAGGAGGCGTCTGTACGCTTTTCTCCCCTTCCCCCTTCAAATTTGCACAGTAATAGAGCAAGTGCATCGTTGCGCTGGGCTTTCCGAAGATCCAGAGCCCCACTCAGGTCTAGCAGCATGAAAAGGCTGAGTCCCGGGACCGGAGGCGCCCCCTCCCCACGTCCTCTGCTTGCAAGGCGAGGCCCCCTCCCATACTCACCGATCTCGCCCAGCAAAGAGCCACCGGCGGTCACCGGCTCCATGACCCCGTAAACGCGGACTACAAACCCCAGCAGGCCAGGCAGTCAGGAATCCCGGGACACCCCAGGCGCTTCTCGCGAGGGCTGCCGGGAGTTGTAGTTCTCCGGCCTGGCTTCCTGGTTGGTGGGTCTGATGCTGATGCTTGCAGATGTTTTCCCGTCCTTTGCAACCTTCTCTGCGAGGGTTCAGTCCTCACGTCCCTTTCTTGACACGCGGAGTGTTGCAGCTCGGTGCTTGAATTCATGGGATCACAATTAGGTGGAGCAAGGGGTTGCTTCTGACGCCCCCCCCCCCGTCACCCCAAACCCTGAAAACCATCATGGGTCGCCCTGAGCATCCCAACCAGGCACCTGAAAATTTGCTTTTTGCTCTTTCTTAGACTTCTGCCTTATTTCAGGGGGTTCACATGTGGCCTGACCTGTAATGGGTGGTGGTGGGCTTTGATTTGTCTGTATGTTATGTGTTTATTGGTAATATTTATTTCTACAATGCATTTTTATTTATTGGCAACATTGATTTATTCATTGGTAAGATGCCTGTATGTGTTTGTGAAATTTATTTATTGGCAAAATTGATTGATTCATTTGCAAAATCTATGAGTTAGATCATTTTACAAATAAATATTACCCATACATATTTTTTGCAAATAATTAAATTTCACAAACAAATGCATACATTTTACAAATAAATCAATTTTGCGACTAAACAAATGCATTTTACCAATAAATCAATATTACCCGTTAATACATTTATGCATAAAGGTTGCAACCAAATCAATTTTGCAAATAAAAAAATACATTTTACAAACAAAGGTAACGCATGCGTACATTTCACAAATGTCATAGATAAACTTTACAAATACAGTCCCCCAACAAAGTTTGCAAATAAATAAAACGCATTTTACAAATAAGTAAATTTTACAAATAAAACTGCATTTTACAAATAAACAAATAAAGGCCTGCTTGCTTTGTTTCGTCGTCATGACACCGGAAATTTAGCAATTTTTATAAAAACTCCCATGACAAAAATGGTCACAAAGCAATTTGTGACATAATGTACGATGTCATAAACAATTTCCTCTGTTCAACTTGATCAACCCTTTGGAGGTTTGGCTGCTGTGTGGAACAGACATCTCTGAATTATCTCTCTGAATTTGAAGCTCTGCCTTTGTCGCTTGGATGCAGGAATCTGGTAAGAAAAATAGTTTTAAAAGCAGGACCCGGGAAGTCATTGGTTGTCTAATTAATAATAATAATAATAGTAGTAGTAGTAGTAGTAGTAGTAGTAGTAGTAGTAAAGTTGGAAGGGACCTTGGAGGTCATCTAGTCCAACCCCCTGCTCAGGCAGGAAACCCTACACCATTTTGGACAAATGGCTGTCCAGTCTCTTCTTAAAAACTTCCAGTGTTGGAGCATTTACTGCTTCTGAAGGCAGGTTGTTCCACTGGTTAATTGTTCTCACTGTCAGGAAGTTTCTCCTTAGTTCTAGGTTGCTTCTCTCCTTGATTAGTTTCCACCCGTTGCATCTTGTCCTGCCTTCAGGTGCTTTGGAAAATAGCTTGATTCCCTCTTCTTTATGGCAGCCCTGAGATATTGGAATACCTCTAATAAAAGGGAAAATTTGGATTTGGGGGGAAAAACTACATTCAGGAAGGAGTATTCAGTTAAAAATTTGTATGCGCCAAATAGGAATTTTGTTAAGTGGAATTTTGCCCCGTTTTACAAATTCTCTTGCCACAGTTGTTAAATGAAGCACTGCATTGTTAACTTAGTAACACGGTCGTTAAATGAATACAGCTTCCCCTTGGACGTTGCTTGACAGGAGGTCACAAATGGGGGAATCAGAGGTCCTCAGGACACTGCGACCGTTGTAAATACGAATCAGTTGCCAAGCATCTGAATTTTTGATCACGTGAACATGGGGATGCTGGAACGGTGATAAGGGTGCGAAATGAACACAAGTCATTTTTTTTCAGATGTCAATTCGGATGTTCACTAAACAAAACCTTGTAAATCATAGACTACCTGTATATATTTCCAGTTCCCCTTAGAATCCTGGGATTTCCTAGTGGTCTCCCATCCGTACTTTTTCCCTACTTAGCTTCTTTTTTTTTTTCATTAGCTAAGATCTGTTATGTGTTACCTGGGTGGATGGGGGGGGTTGGGGGTGTCCTGGCTGTGAAATTTGGGGCATATCTTTTTTGGGGGTGGGGTCTGTCGAAACCTTGGTCACTAAGCAACTCGTCATAAGTCGAGGAGCACCTCCACTAAGAATCTGAGGTATGTTTATAAAACCGCTCAGCTAGCAAACCGAGAAAGGCTTCGAGGAACTCATTACGAAAGTAAAAGTAAAAAAAAAAACAGAAAGTGAGTAAAAAAAAAAATCAGGCTGAATATGAAAAGAGGAGAATGGCAGTGAGGACAACTTTCACTCTTACGAATTTTTCTGTTGGAGAAAACGGTCTGAAGCTTTTATTTATTTATTTATTTATCGGAAGTGGGGAGGGAGGCAAGGTCAGGTTTTTTTTAAAAAAAAAAGAAGAAGAAGGGAATGCCGGAAAAATAAAAAGGAGGATCATTCCAAGGAAAGGAAATCGGAAAGGAATTGAACAAATAAAAACGAATATTTGGGGGCCCGCAAACCAAGATCGGAATATTCAGGGCGGTTGATGAGAGAGAGAGAGAGAGAGAAAAAAAGAACAGCCAAGGAAGAGAAAGAAACAGCCTCGGAGAGGTGACAGGGATTTTGCCGGAAAAGCTGAGCCAGGCGTCACTCTCTGGATTTGGTGGTCTTCTTTTGCGGACGTTTCATGACCCAACTAGGGAATGTCATCAGTGCTGGAAGGGAGAGGGGTTGTATAACAAGAAAGCAAACGAGTGGTGGAGCACCAGGAGGCAAGCTGTTCCATCTCTCTCTCTCTCTTATCTATCTCTATCTTGTCATATATATCTTATTTAATCCGCCTCATAGAATCATAGCAAAGTAGAGACCTAGGCCTGGAAGGGACCATGGAGGTCATCTAGTCCAACCCCCTGCTCAGTTAGGAGACCCTATACCATTCTGGACAAATGACTGTCCAATCACTTCTTGAAAGCTTCCAATGGTGGAACACCCACAACTTCTGGAGGCCGGGTCTTCCACCCTTCCCTTCCCTCCCTCCCTCCCTCCCCTATCATCTATTTATAACAGTGTTTCTCAACCTTGACCATTTTAAGGCATGTGGACTTCAACTCCCAGAATTCCACAGCCAGCATTGCTGGCTGTGGAATTCTGGGAGTTGAAGTCCACATGCCTTAAAATGGTCAAGGTTGAGAAACACTGATTTATAATCTATCTATGTATGTATCTATGTATCTATCCATCCCTCCACCTACCCCCACACACATCGATCTGGTCTATTAATCTATCCACTCATCCATGCATCCACCAATCCATCCATTATCTATCTATCCACCTGTCTAGCTAGCTATCCACCCACACTCTTCCATCTGATCTATCTATTCAATCATCCATTCAGCCATCCATCCACTTTCCCCCCCACACACGCACTCATCCATCCATCCACCCATCCATCCAATGTATCTTAAATATCTAATAGAATCGTAGAGAGTTAGGGCTGGAAGGGTCCTTGGAGACCATCTATTCCAACCCCCCCCCCCGCTTGCTCAAGCAGGAGACTCTGTATCATTTCAAACAAACGGCTGTCCAATCTCTCCTAAAAACGTCCAGCGGTGGAGTGCTCACAACCCACAACTCTCTTTCTCTCTCTGTCTGTTTTTTTCTCTCCCCCCAAGCCCCTGGAGCATGCAGGGCCGCCCCTCCCCTTCTCTAAAGAAAGCAGGGGAGGGAGAGAGGAAGGGAGGGAGGAAGGAAGGAAGGAAGAAAAGAAAGGAAGAAAGAAAGAAAGGGAGGGAGGGAGGGAGGAAGGAAGAAAACAAAGAAAGGAAGGAAGGAAGGGAAAGAAAGAAAGAAAGAAAGAAAGAAAGAAAGAAGGGAGGGAGGGAGGAAGGAAGGAAGGAAGAAAGGAAGAAGGAAGAAGGAAGAAAGGAAGAAGGAAGGGAAAGAAAGGAAGGAAGGAAAGAATGAAGGAAAAAGAAAGAATGAAAGAAAGGGAGGGAGGGAGGGAGGGAGGAAAGAGGGAGGGAGGGAGGAAGAAAGGAAGAAGGAAGAAAGGGAAAGGAAGAAAGGAAGGAAAGAAGGAAGGAAAAAGAAAGAAGAATGAAAGAAAGGGAGGGAGGGAGGAAAGAAAGAGGGAGGGAGGAAGAAAGGAAGAAGGAAGGAAGGGAAAGGAAGGAAGGGAGGGAAAAGAAAGAAAGAAAGAAAGAAAGAAAGAAGGGAGGGTGAAAGGAAGAAAGGAAGGAAGGGAAAGGAAGGAAGGAAGGGAAAAAAGAAAGAAACAAAGAGGAAGAGGGAGGGAGGGCGGAAGGAAGAAAGGAAGAGAAAGAAAAGAAAGAAAGAAAGAAAGAGAAAGGAAGGAAGGAAGGAAGGAAGGAAGAAGCGGGGGTGGGAAGGCGGGGGGGGCGAGTCCAACTGGCCGGAAGCTCAACCCGCCCCCCGCCCGGGGAGGCGGCGACCCCTTCCGGGTTAGTTTTCACTTTCTTTCTTTGGCTGCGGGCTCCCTCCGCCGTTTTCACTTCCTGGGGTTGCCTCCTCCTTCTCCTCCGCCGAGCGGGCCGACGTGTTCCCCGCGGGCTCCGCCGCCCGTCCGCCCGCCCGCCCGGGTCTGGGGTCGCCGCTGAGCGTGGGGAAGGGTCCCCGGCAGCCCCCCGCCCTGCCTGGAGGCGACTCGGCCCTCGAGGCGGACAGACAGAGCCCGCCCGGGCTGCGCTTAGAGACCCGGGAAGGGGGGGGGTCTCCGCTGAAGCCCCTCCTCCGAAAAAAAGGAGGGGAGTGGGCTGCCTGCGCCCCCTTTTTTCCCCCCTCTCTCTTCCCCTTCCCCAATTGGCCTTTGTGCTGCATCGCCTCGTGTCCCGGGTGCCAAGAGGGCTCCGGGGCTCGCTCGGCCACGCCGGCGGGCGCGGAGCGGGCAGGAAACCCGGGTCGGCGCGTTCCGACGTGCGAGAAGGAAGGAGAAAGAGAGAGAGAAGCGGCTCCCCGGGCCCGCCGGCTCGCTTCCCGGCATGGCAGGGCCGGCGGGTGGGACAGCTGTCACCGGTGAGTGTGCCCGGGCTGGGGAGGAGGGAAGGAAACACGTGTCGGCCGAAGAACGGAAAGAAACACGTGTCAGCCGGGGTTTTCCTCGTGGTCCCCCTCCCGCCCCGCGCCGCGCTCAGGATCGGGACCGGGCGAGGCTGGGGATCGCCGAGAGCCGGATAGGATCGCGCTGCCTGGGCGCGAGCCTCCCCTTGCGCGCTTTTCTGGCTGCTTTTAGGATCGGGATGGGGGGGGGCGTTGCAAGCCGGGCGAGCGAAAGCAAGAAGGGAAAGACGGCGGGCAAGGGAGGGGATCGCGACCGAGGCTGCCCGATCCTCTGGGACTGCGCGCCTGGCAGGCAACGGGAGGGCTTTTAACATTGTAGCTGCGCCCGATCCTGCGCGCCTTCCCCCCCCCTCCAGCTTTTTCTTGCTCTGTTTTCTTTGGGGCTGGCTCAGTGGATCGTGTGCATTTGGGTCGGCCACCTCTTTGCCCACAAGAGGACCAGAGAGGGAACTTGCTCCAACTTCCTGTTCAGTTGCGTAGAAGGTTTTTGCCTTTGAGCACCAGGAGAGGAAGGCTGGATTCGCATACAGGCCATCCTCGACTTAACGGCAGTTCACTTCGTGACCGTTTGGAGTTAGAACAACACTGGGGAAAAGGGACTCCGGACCCAGGTGTCACGCTTAATGACCGTCGCAACGTTCCCCGGGGTCACGGGATCAAAATCCGGACGCTTGGCCATTGGCAGGTATTTGTGACGGTTGGCAGCGTCCCCGGTGTGTGTGTGTGTGTATGTGTGTATGTGTGTGACGTGACCCCATTTTGTGACCTTCCGACAAGCAAAGTCAATGGGAGAAAGTTGGATTTGCTTAACGACCGTGTTGCAAATTTAACGACTGCGGGATTCACTTAATACAGGGGTCTTCAAACTTCACCCTTTGATGACTTGTAGCACGCTGGCTGAGGAATTCTGGGAGTTGAAGTCCGCAAGTCATCAAAGGGCCAAGTCTGAAGATCCCTGAACTTAAGGTCAAGAAAGGTCATAAAAAGGGACAAAGCTCACAATTTTGGGCTGAGTTGTGATCGTAAGTTGTGGGCTACCTATATATCCATTATCTTAATTATAAAGTGTCCAGAGCCATTAAGGAGTTGGGTGGCCTTCAAACTGAATTAACTAAATAGATTAGGATGATAATTAGAGGCTCACCTGTTTTGACTCCATCTAATGTGAGTCAGCTTTAAACTTGGGTTTGTCTGGGGCTTGGTGAAAGTGACCCTCTTCTACTTATGCAGAGCAAAACATTAAAATGTGCCGGGCTTAAGGCTCAGTTTAATGTAGGACCACCACACCCCAGCCAGAGATGGCTAACTCAACAAGCCATAGTTAAACTCCAGTATGGTTTAATTGAATGTATGGCTTGATTTGCCTCAGATAGTAAGCCGTAATGTGATGAGCTTAGTTCTGGTTTAGACCGATGTATGAAACCTGAATTGTTTTATTTACTCGCCTTGTGACTTTCCTGACACTGTAGCTTGTTTCATGTTGGCTTATTTGAAACCGACTCTTCTCGGAAGGCTTGACACCTTAAGCTAATCTCTCCTTCCAAGCAATGCCTTGATTTCATGTGGGTTTACTCTTCTATCGGTGCACCTAAAATTGAAGCTTTGATCATGATGTACTAAAGTAGGTTCTCAGATATTACACTTAAATATGAGGGAACCTTGGTGCTCTCTGAGCTTGCTTGTCTTCTTGCAGACGTTTCATGACCCAACTAGGGAACATAATCAGTTCTCAAGGGAGTGGGAATAAAGAATATAGAATAGAATAGAATATAGAATAGAATAGAATAGAATAGAATAGAATAGAATAGAATAGAATAGAATAGGAAGGATGAATAGAATAGAATATAGAATATAGAATATAGAATATAGAATAGAATAGAATAGAATAGAATAGAATAGAGAATAAAGAATAAAGAATAAAATACAGAATAGAAGACAATAAAGAATAGAGTAGAATAAATAATAGAATAGAGAATAGAATAGAGAATAAAGAGAAGAGGAGAATAAAGAATAGAATAGAATAAATAGAATAGAATAGAATAGAGAATAAAGAAGAGAAGAGAAAGAATAAATAGAATAGAATAGAGAATAAAGAATAAAATACAGAATAGAAGACAATAAAGAATAGAGTAGAATAAATAATAGAATAGAGAATAAAGAGAAGAGGAGAATAAATAGAATAAATAGCATAGAATAGAGAATAAAGAAGAAAAGAGAAAGAATAAATAGAATAGAGAATAGAATAGAATAGAATAGAATAGAATAGAATAGAAAATAAAGAATAGAATAGAATAGAGAATAAAGAGAAGAGAAGAAAATAAAGAATAGAGAATAGAATAAAGAATAGAGAATAGAATAAAGAATAAATAGAATAGAACAGAACAGAATAGAAGCTGAAAGGGACCTTGGAGGTCTTCTAGTCCAGCCCTCTGCTGAAGCAGGAGAACCCATACCATTTCAGACAAGCGACTGTCTAGTTTGAAGTTTGTGGAGAGAGATCTTCTATCTAGCTTATCTTCCTTCCCTTTTCTGAATTAATGTCCTTTTCGAGCAGGCCTGCCATCATATTCCCCCTGGTGACCTGTTCTAGTCCAAATGCCCTTTCATTGGCCCATCAGTTCCGTCCGATGCTAGCAAATTGCAATGGTGATCCATGAAATCTCTCTCCCTTTGGAGACCCTTCCACTCTTTATTTCCATATTCTGAAACCTTGCTTCCCCACTCCCCCCCCCCCCAGCCTGCTTCTTCCGCAAAGAAAAGAAAAAAATAACCTGCGTTTCAGGATTTCAACAGGTTTTGCTGGCCAAGAAAGTTTGGCTTAAATCAGTGGTTCTCAACCTTTTTAATGCCGCGACCCCCAACTGGTCGTAAGTCGAGGACTACTCAACCGGTCGTAAGTCGAGGACTACTCAACGGGTGCAGCACCGTTTGCAGACTGGGACTTTTGGCGGGCTCAGCAGGGCAGAGACAGCCTGGACAATTCCGATTGGCTTTCAAAAGCCAATAGAATAAAAGGGAGGAGCACAGCTAAGGAAAAGGGGGAAAAAATGGCGGACTGCAGTGTTTGGCGACCCCCGTGAAATGGTCGTTCGACCCCAAATGGGGTCCCGACCCAGAGGTTGAGAACCACTGGCTTAAATGAAATTTGGGCTTTTCTTGTCCCGCATTTTGCAGAAAGGGGAGAAGGAGGCATCCTCTGTCTTTCTTTTCTCTCCGCTGCTGTGGCAGTCCATCCGCAAAGATGCTCATTAGCTCTGCACCATGCCAATTAATTTGTCGGTCCACGATCGCACAATGTGTGCACACAGGCCATATTCGCAGGCTCTGGAGGTAGTTTCGATCCTGGAAGATGCAAACAGGCTTCGCCTGACACAGAGCAGATAAGGGGAAGGGAGTTTAGCATATGCAGTCAGGGGAATAAAATTAAATTCACCAGGAGGAAGATTCAGGTTAGAAAACAAGAAGAAATTCCGGACTGCGCAAGCAGCCAGTGGAACAACCTGCCACTTGATGTTGCAAGTCTTCACATAGAGACCGGGGGTACAGATAGTCCTTCACTGAACAACTCCATTTGAGCCCAAGGATTTCTGTGGTTAAGTGAGACGTTTGTTAAGTGAGTTTTGCCCCGTTTTACAACTTTCCTTGCCTCGGTTATTAAGGGAATCTCTGCCGTTGTTAAGTGAGTAACCGGGTTGTTAAGTGAATCTTGGCTTGCTTATCAGAAGGTCGCAAAAGGGGATCGCTTGATCTTGGGACAGAGCAACGGTCATAAAAAAAGAACCTGTTGCCAAGCGTCCGAATTTTGATCACATATTCGTGAGCGTGTTATAACTGTGAAAAACGGTCGTAAGTCACGTTTTTCAGTGCCGTCATAATGTTGAACGGTCACTAAATGAACTTTAAAATGAAGATCACATAGAGGGAGATTCATGTTATAAATGATGATGATGATGATGATGTTGGAAAGGACTTTGAAGGTCATCTAGTCCAACCCCCTGCTCAGGCAAGAAACCCTATACCATTTCAGAAAAAATGGCTGTCCAGTCTCTTCTTAAAAACTTCCAATGTTGGGGCATTCACTGCTTCTGGAAGCAGGTTGTTCCACTGGTTCATTGCTCTCACTGTCAGGAAGTTTCTCCTTAGTTCTAGGTTGCTTCTCTCCTTGATTAGTTTCCATCCGTTGCTTCTTGTCCTGCCTTCAGGCGCCTTGGAGAAGAGCTTGACTCCCTCTTCTTTGGGGCAGCCCCTGAGATACTGGAACTCTGCTATCATGTCCCCCCTCGTCCTTCTCTTCATTAAACTAGACATACCCAATTCCAGCAACTGTTCCTTATATACCTTAGCCTCCAGTCCCCTAATCATCTTTGTTGCTCTTCTCTTGACTCTTTCTAGAGTCTCAGCATCTTTTTTACATCGTGGTGACCAAAACTGAATGCAGCATTCCAAGTGTGGCCTTACCAAGGTCTTGTAAAGTGGTATTAACTCTTTACGTGATCTTGATTCTATCCCTCTGTTAATGCAGCCCAGCACTGTATTGGCTTTTTTGGCAGCTGCAGCCCACGGCTGGCTCTTATTTAAGGGATTGTCCACTAGGACTCCGAGATCCCTCTCACAGTTGCTACTATTGATCAAGGTACCCCCTATACAGTCATGGACAGCATGAGCAGCCGGTGGAACAATCTGCCACATGAAGTCTTCAAATAGAGGGCTGATGTACTTCTATCATAGACGGTTGAATACAGGGATCTCCAAACTTGGCAACTTTTAAGACTGGTGGACTTCAACTCCCAGCATGGCTGGCTGAGGAATTCTGGGAGTTGAAGTCCACAGCTCATAAAGTTCTCATGTTGGGAGACCCCTTGCTCTAGTGCAGCAATTCTCAACCTTGGCAAATTTAAGGCACTTCAATTCCCAGAATCCCCCCAGCCGGCATGTTTTAAGATGGATGGGCTTCAATTCCCAGAATCCCCCCAGCCGGCATGTTTTAAGATGGATGGGCTTCAATTCCCAGAATCCCCCCAGCCGGCATGCTTTAAGGTGAGTGGGCTTCAGTTCCCAGAATCCCCCCAGCCGGCATGCTTTAAGGTGAGTGGGCTTCAATTCCCAGAATCCCCCCAGCCGGCATGCTTTAAGGTGAGTGGGCTTCAATTCCCAGAATCCCCCCAGCCGGCATTTTTTAAATTCCCAGAATCCCCCCAGCCGGCAGGGGCTTTAAATTCCTTCAATTCCCAGAATCCCCCCAGCCGGCATGCTTTAAGGTGAGTGGGCTTCAATTCCCAGAATCCCCCCAGCCGGCATTTTTTAAGATGGAGGGGCGTCAATTCCCAGAATCCCCCCAGCCGGCAAGCTTTAAGGTGAGTGGGCTTCAATTCCCAGAATCCCCCCAGCCAGCATGCTTTAAGGTGAGTGGGCTTCAATTCCCAGAATCCCCCCAGCCGGCATTTTTTAAGATGGAGGGGCGTCAATTCCCAGAATCCCCCCAGCCGGCATGCTTTAAGGTGAGTGAGCTTCAATTCCCAGAATCCCCCCAGCCGGCATGCTTTAAGGTGAGTGGGCTTCAATTCCCAGAATCCCCCCAGCCGGCATGCTTTAAGGTGAGTGGGCTTCAATTCCCAGAATCCCCCCCAGCCGGCATGCTTTAAGGTGAGTGGGCTTCAATTCCCAGAATCCCCCCAGCCGGCATGTTTTAAGATGGATGGGCTTCAATTCCCAGAATCCCCCCAGCCGGCATGTTTTAAGATGGAGGGGCTTCAATTCCCAGAATCCCCTCAGCCAGCATGTGTTAAGGTGAGTGGGCTTCAATTCCCAGAATCCCCCCAACTGGCATTCAGTTCTACGAATTCTGGAAGTCCAGAGGTCTTAAAATAGTCAAGGTTGAGAAACACCAATTATTCAGTTACCTAATCAATTACCTGGGGAACATCCTGCCCTGATGTGTTTGTTGTTGGCAACCTAAAAATAACCAAGCCTCTTCCGGAGGCCTTAAAAAAACATTAAAAAGCAAATCCGTTGCTTTAAAACAATATTCATTCAGCATTTATAATTCCCAGAGTCCTTAACGGAATATTCTAATTCTAAAATTGCGTTGGTCCAAATAGTTCATTCGCAGGAGAAAATGAAGGGCCAGGGAATTCTGGGACTTTTGAAGTCCCACACCTCTTAATATTGCCGAGTTGGAGAAACTGCAGCTTTAAACCCTCGAATACTGTAATATTTCTGTTTCCTGGTACGATAGTTTCACTTTTGTCTCGGCTCTCAAACTGCTCAAAAGAGGAGAATGCTATTCGGTTTAAATCAGTTTCGCTTTCTCATTCCAAGGTCAGAAACAAAAGGGAGCGTGTTCCGGTTATAAATAAAACAAACACAATAAATGCAAAAGTTTTTTGTTTTTTTCTTTTTAAAAGCAACAACTGAAGCCAAGGACGAATTGTTTGGAAACTCCCAAATCTCTGCTTTCTGTTAATTTTCTCCTGCGGGAAAAAAAAAAAATAACTATTTGGACCAAAGCAATTTTAGAATTAGAATATTTCGCAAGGACTTTGGGAATTGTAAATGGGAGACTTTATCTCGTCTTGTCTTATCTTTTTGAAAACTGACAACTGGATAGATTCAAGGACTGTTTATTAGCTCTGGAGGTGGAAAACGAGCCTCCCTTGGCAGGAGCAGTGTGCCTTCGAAGTTGGGAAGAAGTGAATGGGAAAAATTGTTGCTTTCTTGTTCGACTTTGGTGTGGGTGCTATCAGGAGTCACATCCTTTTGATCCGATCCATTGAGGTTTTTAAGAAGGTTAAGAAACAGAAAGAATATGTTAACAGTTCTTTGTTTAATCAGAGTTTGTGGTTACCTTAAAGAGGAATTTAGCAAAGGACACGGACTATAAAGGTAGCCCTTGAAGTTTGACCACATCTGAGGTCAAAATTTCCATTGCTAAGCAAGGATTAAGTGGGTTTTGCCCCGTTTTACGACCTTTCTGGTCCCCGTCGTTAAGCGAATCACACTGCAGTTGTTAAGTTAGTAACCCGGTTGTTAAGTGGATCTGGCTTCCCCCATGGACTTTGCTTGTTCAGGAGGTCGCCAAAGGGGATCACGTACGTGATCCCCGGGACGCTGCGACCGTCGTAAATATGAGCCAGGTGCCAATGTCCAAATTTTGATCACGTGACCGGGGGTGAGATCCTGCAATGGTCGTAAGTGTGAAAAACGGTCATAAGTCACTGTTTTCAATGCTGTTGTAACTTTCAATGGTCATTAAACAAATGGCTATCAGTCAAGGACTACCTGTGCTGTACTGAACATGCTGTCTGTTTGTTCTCCTGGAGATGTGGCATGATCTAAAACCAATTAATCCACACAATAAATAAATAAGAACATTGTGTAGCCTGGCTAGATAAATTCTAACTAGAGTCAGTTAAGGCACCAGGCTAAAAACCAGAGGGAGTTCTAGTCCTGCCTTAGGCATGAAAGCCAGCTGGGTGACTTTGGGCCAATCATAGGAGATGGTGAGTTCTAGTCCTGCCTTAGGTCATGAACTCTGGGTGACTTTGGGCCAATCACCAGGTGCCTGTGAGGTCTAGTCCTGCATTAGGCATGAAATTCTGCTGGGTGACTTTGGGCCAATCACCAGGTGCCTGCGAGTTCTAGTCCTACGTTAGGCATGAAATTCTGCTGGGTGACTTTGGGCCAATCACCAGGTGCCTGTGAGTTCTAGTCCTGCATTAGGCATGAAATTCTGCTGGGTGACTTTGGGCCAGTCACCGGGTATCTGCGAGGTCTAGTCCTGCATTAGGCATGAAATTCCGCTGGGTTATTTTGGGCCAATCACCAGGTGCCTGTGTGTTCTAGTCCTGGATTAGGCATGAAAACCAGCTGGGTGATCTTGGACCAGTCCCTCTCTCTCTGCCCAACCCATACAGGATTGTGGCTGTCTGGTAGATAAGATGTCTGGTAGATAATATGTTCTACTCCTTGAATTATTTCTGAAAATAATAACGGTGGAATAGAAATAAATACGTTAAAAAAAAATAAAACGAGGTTTCTTTGCTTTGGCACAGTTTGAGGAACAAGCTACCTTGGGCTGAGTCCATCCAACATGCAAAGAAAGCCAAACCAAAGCAGGCATTCATCTGGTCTTTACTTAGATGCTAGAGCAGTTTAAGATCTGTGGACTTCAACTCCCAAAATTCCTCAGCCAGCCATGTTTGCTGGGGAATTCTGGAAGTTGAAGTCCACAAGTCTTCAAAATTCCACCGTTGGACACCCTTGAACCTCCATGTTCTTGGTCCGTAGCTCAGAGCACCTTCATGTCAAAAAAAAAAAAAAGAGAGAGAGAGAATATGGAGCTAACCGCGGTTGGTCTAACCATGGTTAACTTTGTGCCCCAGCTCAGTGGACCCATTATTGTGTCTCCTGTTGGTTTCCATGCAGGACAAGGATCTCTTCTCAGCACAATAGGAAGCCGTTGCCTCCACCAAGGCAGAACTTGAGGAGGGTGGACATTTTTTAACCAGCCGATCTGCGGAACTGAGGTAAGGTGTATCCCAGGGAAGGCTCCGGTTGGGAGTGGCCTGTTGTGGCGGGAAGCCCTTTTTATTTATTTACGGTATTTAATTAATGGATTAATGCATTAATTTTCTGCCTTTATTTATTTCTTCAACCAATAAACTCAAGGCGACACATATATCCAACACTCGGTCCCCCTATTTCCCTCACAACGACCCTGTGATGTGGGCTGGGCTGGGCTGACAGAGAGAGAGTGAGAGAGAGAGAATGGGACTGGCCTCAAAGCACAGAGTTGGCTGTTAGGTCTAAGGCGGGATTAAAACTCGCCGTCTCCTGGTGATTGGGCCAAAGTCACTCAGCTGGCAGTCCAATCCTGCCTTAGTCATGAAAGCCAGGTGAATGGCCAATTCCCAGGAGACGGGGAGTTCTAGTCCCGGGTGGAAGCCAGCTGGGTGACTTTGGGCCAATCACCAGGAGACTGGGAGTTCTAGTCCCGGGTGGAAGCCAGCTGGGTGACTTTGGGCCAATCACCAGGAGACTGGGAGTTCTAGTCCCGCCTTAAGCATGGAAGCCAATTGAGTGACTTTGGGCCAATAACCAGGAGACTGGGAGTTCTAGTCCCGCCTTAAGCATGGAAGCCAATTGGGTGACTTTGGGCCAATCACCAGGAGACTGGGAGTTCTAGTCCCGCCTTAAGCATGGAAGCCAATTGGGTGACTTTGGGCCAATCACCAGGAGACTGGGAGTTCTAGTCCCGCCTTAAGCATGGAAGCCAATTGGGTGACTTTGGGCCAATCACCAGGAGACTGGGAGTTCTAGTCCTGCCTTAAGCATGGGAGCCAATTGGGTGACTTTGGGCCAATCACCAGGAGACTGGGAGTTCTAGTCCTGCCTTAAGCATGGAAGCCAATTGAGTAACTTTGGGCCAATCACCAGGGCACTGGGAGTTCTAGTCCTGCCTTAAGCATGGAAGCCAATTGGGTGACTTTGGGCCAATCAACAAGGCACTGGGAGTTCTAGTCCCATCTTAGGCATGGAAAACAATTGGGTGACTTTGGGCCAATCACCAGGAGACTGAGAGTTCTAGTCCCGCCTTAAGCATGGAAGCCAATTGAGTGACTTTGGGCCAATCACCCGGAGACTGGGAGTTCTAATCCCATCCGAAGCATGAAAGCCAGCTCGGTGACTTTGGGTCAGTCCCTCTCAGCCCGACCCACCTCACAGGGTTGTCGTCGTGGGGCGAATAGAAGGAGGAAGTAGATACATTCACCTTGAATTGCTTATAGAGTAATAAAGACTGGATAAAAGTCTAATTCATAAATAAAGACATTCCGACCGAATCCTCTGGCTGGACCGCTAAATAAAATTTTCCTGTTTTTTTTTTTTTTTTTTTTTAAAAAAACATTTCCTCCTTGACTCCAGAGCCATTTTGAGGCAGGCTTGGGCGAAGGGAGAACCGCTTAATGACCCCGGGACCAGCCCCTCCGTAAAACCCGCTCGGCTGGCTGGTGACCGTGGAGAATGTTGCCTCTGGGTTACAAAAGCTTGTAAGTAACCTGCTCTCCTTTCTCGCTGTTTTTCTTTTCTTTCATTCGCCGTTTTTCCCTGGCTCTGAAAACAACTCTCATTTTTTTTCTTCTTCTTTCTTTTTCACCTCTGCAGAGCTGAACATGAGATGAAAGGTAAAATAATAAAATAAAAATACTATTTCTTTATGTTTTGGGAGGGTGTTTCCCCCCCCCTTATCCATTGTAACAATATCCTTCCTTTCCCACCTTGTCCTCCTCTCATCATTAAGAGATGTTAAATTTTGTTTTTGTTTCCCAAGCTGCCCAATTGCCACCTAAAATGGCAGGGGGTTGGACTAGAAGACCTCCGGGGTCCCTCCCCACCCTGTTATCCTATGTTCTGTGCCCCTCGGGCTTTGCAGCCGGTTGATTGGGCGCTGGACCCAGGAGGAGGTGGGACTGACAGGGGAGATATGCCCCTCCCATCTCCCCTCCCACGGGCTTCTGGGAAGCTTACGTGTAGTCCTTGACGTATGGCCACAATTGACCCCCCCCAATTTCTGACTCATATCTATGACGGTCACCGTGTCCCAGGGTCACGTGATCCCTTTTGCAACCTCTGACCAGCAAAGTCGATGGGGAAATCTGGATTCATTTAACAGCCGTGTTGTTACTAATTTAACCACCGCAGGGATTCACTTAAGAACCGTGGCCAGGAAGGTCGTAAAATGGGGGCCAAACTCATTTTTTTCAAAAGTGTCTCACTGAGCAAAGGAAATTTTGGCCTCAAATGTGGTGGTTATTCAATATAGACCAGGGGTCTTCAAATTTGGCCACTTTGTGGACTTCAACTCCCAGAATTCCTCAGCCAGCCTCCATTTTGTTTGTTAGATTTAAGACAGGGGTCTTCAAACGTGGCCCTTTGATGACTTGTGGACTTCAACTCCCAGAATTCCTCAGCCAGCCTCCATTTTGTTTGTTAGATTTAAGACAGGGATCTTCCAACTTGGCTGTTTGATGACTGGTGGACTTCAGCTCCCAGAATTCCTCAGCCAGGCACACGTGCCTCCAGAAGCGGTGAATGCTCCAACACTGGAAAGTTTTAAGAAGAGACTGGACAGCCATTTGTCTGAAATGGTATATCCTGCCTGAGCAGTGGGTTGGACTAGATGACCTCCAAGACCCCTTCCAACTTTATTATTATTATGGATCATCGCACAGCCAGATGTTCAGACTGGATTTGCATCATCATCATCATTATTATTATTATTAAAGGCACAAGCTTGAAGACCCCTGTCTTAAATCTAACAAACAAAATGGAGGCTGGCTGAGGAATTCTGGGAGTTGAAGTCCACAAGTCTTAAAGTGGCCAGGTTTGAAGACCCCTGATATAGCCAGATAAATGGGAATAACTCACCTTTCTTTTTAAACTCTTCAGTGCTGCATCGTGCCTGGGAAGGACAGCTTTTCATTCAGCATCAGCGAGTGTGCCACATCGTCCTTCGGTCGCCTTTTCAGCCTTCGCTCCCAGCTCAGTTGTAAATCGTTATTTATTTTTCTCTTCCACTGGAATTAAGCCAAACCCCCCCCCCCCAGAAATCATCCAAAGACATTAAAAAGTACCTTCAAACTTGTGCTTGAATAGAGAAGGGAAATAGATCTGTAAATAAAATGACTAGGGTTTTTTCCCCTCCTCGGTGTTAAAGCGGTGGTTTTTTTAATGAAATATTTTACCTGTGAAACTTTCCACCTGGATCCCGAAAGAAATGTGTGAGAAATGAGGAACGGATAGAAGAAAAATTTCGTAGCTCAGGGTTGAACTCTTGAGGTCCTTGACACGCTCTGAGCTGGGTGGTTTTCTTGCAGACGTTTCATGACCCAACTAGGTAACATCATCAGTGCTAGAAAGGAGAAGGAAGGAAGGAAGGAAGGAAGGAAGGAAGGAAGGAAGGAAGGAAGGAAGGAAGGAAGGAAGGAAGGAAGGAAGGAAGGAAGGAAGGAAGGAAGGACTGTGGGGTCCTTGGTGCTCTCTGAGCTTGGTGGCTTTCTTGCAGACATTTCATGACCCAACTAGGTAACGTCATCAGTGCTAGAAAGGGGTGGGATTTGTGGAGCAAGAAAAGGGGAAGAGGAAGAAGGGGATAGAAGGAATAAAGGGGAGGAGGAAGGAGGAAGAGGAGGAGGAGAACTGTGGACTGCTTGCTGCTCTTTGAACTTAACTTGTTTTCTTGCAGACATTTCATGACCTAACTAGATAACATCATCAATCTACAAGGGAGTGGGCTTTGCAAGCCACTTACATATAAACAGAAAACAAGCCCTCTTCCATTCTAATACTGATGATACGAAGTTATGAAACATCTGCAAGGAAACAATCAAGCTCAGAGAGTACCCAGGACCCCACAAACGAGAAATGGTTCTAGATTCCAATTCTGCGGTTTCTCCACCTCTTTGGGAGGAGTCTGCTTTGGAAAGACTGTATCCCAACCATTTTTCCCTTTTCTCCTTTCGTAGGCCAGCCAAGCTGGAATTCAAGTATATTGTGCGGATATCCGAATTGCGGAAAAAATTGCCGGAAGCTGCATTTAAAAAAAACAGTTACTCCAATGACGAAGGTACGCTTTTAAATCGGGTCACGCGTTGCGTTTATCTGGGTCAGGATGATTCGCTTTGATTCTTTTCTTTCCAGCCCCATGGGACATTGGGCTGGGGGGGCGGCAAGTGATTTAAACGGGCTCGTGACTCTGTAGGTTCATCAGTCCATCAGTGGGATAATTATGTGGAAACGGTGCAGAAGGAAGCCCGGATTAGAAACCAGAATCGCTTCCATGATGAGGTTGGCTGTGTGTAAATGATGGATGGATGGATGAATGGATAGACAGAAAGGGATGGATGGATGGATGGATGGATGGATGGATGGATGGATGGATGGATGAGAGACACACAGACATGAATGGATGGAAATGTAGAGATACATATAGATGGATAATAGCTTGGTAGATAGATGATAGACAAATGAATGGATATAATAAATGGATGGATGGATGAGAGACACACAGACATGAATGGATGGAAATGTAGAGATAGACATATAGATGGATAATAGCTTGGTAGATAGATAGATAGATAGATAGATAGATAGATAGATAGATAGATAGATAGATAGATAGATAGATAGATAGATGATAGACAAATGAATGGATATAATAGATGGATGGATGGATGGATGAGAGACACATGAATGGATGAAAATGTAGAGATAGACATATAGATGGATAATAGCTTGGTAGATAGATGATAGACAAATGAATGGATATAATAAATGGATGGATGGATGAGAGACACACAGACATGAATGGATGGAAATGTAGAGATAGACATATAGATGGATAATAGCTTGGTAGATAGATAGATAGATAGATAGATAGATAGATAGATAGATAGATAGATAGATAGATAGATAGATAGATAGATGATAGACAAATGAATGGATATAATAGATGGATGGATGGATGGATGAGAGACACATGAATGGATGAAAATGTAGAGATAGACATAGATGGATAATAGCTTGGTAGATAGATAGATGATAGACAGACAAATGAATGGATAGAATAGATAGATAGATAGATAGATAGATAGATAGATAGATAGATAGATAGATAGATAGATAGATATGGGTGGATGGAGGGGTGATGGAGGGAGGGAATGGATGGGCATTGCTCAATAATACTGTGGGGTCCTTGGTGTTCCCTAACCTTGGTGGTTTTCTTGCAGACGTTTCATGACCCAGCTAGGGAACATCTACAGTGCTAGAAGAGAGTGGGGGTTTTCTTTATAATAGATTTATTGGACCATTAACATTGAATTGTTTTCATTTTTCCTTTCCTTTTTTTTTAAAAAAAAGTGTGCTTGGTTTTTCCTGCAGTCTGTTGTCAGCAGTTGTCGTTTCGTTTATATCAAGTGGAAATATTAGACGAGAGTGAACTGAAAGATCAGCTAATTGGGAGCATGAAAGAAAAAAACCTGGTGAGTTCTTAAAAATCTTCAGAATTAACTATTCTTTTGCAGGATGTGGCTTGGGTGGGGTTTCATTCTCCAAAAATGCCCAGCAAATTAGCATTTTTTAAAATTTAGGAAGTCTTCCCCTTCTGGTGATTTACAAACATACCCATGTAGATTTTTTGATGGCAATGCCTCAATCTGTTTTTATTAAAAAAAAAAAAATTGCTAGCTGGGGAATTCTGGGAGTTGAAGTCCACCCATCTTAAAGCATGCTAGCTGGGGAATTCTGGGAGTTGAAGTCCACCCATCTTAAAGCATGCTAGCTGGGGAATTCTGGGAGTTGAAGTCCACCCATCTTAAAGCATGCTAGCTGGGGAATTCTGGGAGTTGAAGTCCACCCATCTTGAAGTTGCTAAAGGTGGAGAAATAGTATGTTGTTATATACAATTATAGCTTAGTGTACTGTCAAAATCAGTATATTTTGGTAGACGGACCACAGCTCAGTGCCTTTGAAAAAAAACAGCGATTCTAAATATGTACGTAGACAGCATTCACACATGATACTAGGCCATTATTTTAATCACAGTTTCTTGAACAAGCCAGGATGGTCTATTTTTTTTCCCCCAACAACAGATTTTTGAATGGAACCCCAAACCGGCCCTGTTCTAGCTCAACATTCCATATAAAGACGAAGCTGTTAATGAAGGTGACGTGGCATTCTTTGATTGACACCTGAATTAAGCCAGACTGAATTAAAGCTGAATTAAACTAAAGGGTTATTTTTTTTTTTTTTTTAAAAGCCCCCAGATGTGAAATTGCACGATAGGTGCCGGAGATTTGGGGATCAAGCAGGAACCCCACTTTTTCAAGCCATCTGTTTATTCTCCGGATGGAGAAATTAACCACCTTTCTGTGTTACAGGCGCTTGTCAGATATGTAAATGACCGTGGAATCCTCCTCTTCCTCACCTCGTCCACCTTGGCGAGAGGAAAAGGTAAGGAGGGACAGACCCTCGGCGCCTTCGAATCCAGGTGAGCCTTCCCTGGAAAATTCACGTTCAAGACGGGAAAACATTGACGCCTCGTTTTCTGCTTGCAGATTCCGAGTCAAACGATTTGACGTCTCTCCAAGCTTTGTTTTTGTTTCCATCGCCAGGGCCCAGATATTTAACAGGTGAGATTTGTTTTTGCCAACACGGGGGATCCCTTAATCCCTATTATCGGGTTTTTTTGCCCTGCCCTTTTTTTCCTTATATTTACTTACTTGCTTATCTACCGTATTTTCCGGCGTATAAGACAACTTTCTAAACCCTGAAAATCTTCTCAAAAGTTGGGGGTCGTCTTATACGCCAGAATATATGGGTAGCTGTTCTCTGAATTTAAAACCAATCTGCCCCCTAGTGGCCAGCCCTATTTTTTTTTTTTTTTTTTTTTTTTTTACAGAAATAAGCACTAACAGGACAAAGCTTTCTAGCAGCAAAGGAATGGAGCTCCTATTGTGCTCATCTATAAACAGAAATTCAATATTGTACTGTGTTTTCTGGCGTATAAGACGACTTTCTAAACCCTGAAAATCTTCTCAAAAGTTGGGGGTCGTCTTATACGCCCAGTCGTCTTATACGCCGGAGTATACGGTACTAAAATTTTATTCCACTTTTATTATTTTTATAAATACAGCCGGCTTTCATGCCTGAGGCAGGACCACAACTCTCCATCTCCTGGTGATTGGCCCAAAGTCACCCAGCCGGCTTTCATGCCTAAGGCGGGACTAGAACTCACCACATCTTGGTGACTGGCCCCAAATCACCAAGCTAGCTTTCATGCTTAAGGAAGGACTAGAACTCACGATCGCCTAACGACTGGCCCAAAGTCACCTAGTCAGCTTTCATGCCTAAGATGGGATTAGAACTCACTGTCTTGGCCCCAAAACACCCAGATGGCTTTCATGCCTAAGATAGGACTAGAACTCACCGTCTCCTGGTGATTGACCCAAAGTCACTCAGCCAGCTTTCATGCCTAAGGCGGGACTAGAACTCACCATGACTTGGTGACTGGCCCCAAATTACCGAGCTAGCTTTCATGCTTAAAGAAGGACTAGAATTCACGATCGCCTAGCGATTGGCCCAAATCACCCAGCTGGCTTTCATGCCTAAGGTAGGGACTAGAACTCACCATCTCCTGGTTTCGTCTAGTCCAGTGGTTCTCAACCTTTTTAATGCTGCGACCCCCAACCGGTCGTAAGTCGAGGACTACTCAACCGGTCGTACTCAACTAGTGCAGCACCGTTTGCAGACTGGGACGTTTGGCGGGCTCAGCAGGGCAGAGACAGCCTGGACAATTCCTATTGGCTTTTGAAAGCCAATAGAATTAGACTCTATGCAAGAGAGTCTATTCTATTGGCTTTCAAAAGCCAATAGAATAAAAGGGAGTAGCACAGCTAAGGAAAAGGGGGAAAAAATGGCGGACTGCGTTGTTTGGCGACCCCCGTGAAATGATCGTTCGACCCCAAATAGGGTCCCGACCCACAGGTTGAGAACCACTGGACTAGTCCATTAATAGGCCATCCATTTCATCCATAAAGCAACTCTGCCTGGCTTACACAACAGTAACTGTTTAATTTTATTTATTTTTGTTGAGGATGACTGAAGTTGCTTAGAAATGGCTTTTCTGTTTTGTTTTGTTTTCATTAGCCACAGACTGGAAATGCGAAGAGGGGAGAACTGAGACCCCCCAGAAACTCGCCCTGGTCCTTCCCCTCTTTCACCAGGCGCTGGCAGAAGTCGCCAAAAATCCCGAACTGTCCCCTTCTAACGCTTTGGTCAAATTGCACATGGAGGAATTTGCGAAGCTCGATCGGAGTTCAGTGCCGAGCCACGGAAACGCGGCTGGCCCACCTTTTATTCCCAAACTTTCATCCGAGACCCCCAAGGGGGACCCCGTGGACGAGAAGTGCTCCCCCTCCTCGTTTTCCAAGTTGGCATTTTATCTGTCGGACCCCAAAAGTTACACGCTGGAGGTCTCCTCCGCCTTGGCGTGTTTGCAGGGCGACTCTCAGCCGTCCGACGGTCGGGCGGATTTCAATTTGGACCCTTCACCGTCGGACGGACTGGACAACACTACTGGAACGGGCAAGGTTCTCCTTGCCGGACACGGGCCGAGCCGAGCCGGCACGTCGAAAAGCAGCCCGGCCGGAGAGCGATCCTTGCCATGGACCAAACGGAAATCCAGCCGCATCCTGGGGGCCAGTTCGAAAAAGAAATGGTCGCCTCTAAAGATGTACTGCATGCTGGAGAACAGCAGGAAAAAGACGAAGGAGAAGGAAAAGAAGAAAAAGAAGAAGAAGGGGAAGAATTTGCTCAAGGAAGCCATGACTCCCAGCATCCCCGTGGCTAAAGATCCCGGGTCGCCAGCAGATCTTAAAAAGCCTACCCTGAAATTAAAAAACATCCAGAATCCACTGAGAAGGAAAAGAGGTGAGTGTCATCTCGAAATAGAGGAGGACCGAGGAATTCTGGGAGTTATAATAATAATAAAGTTGGAAGGGACCTTGGAGGTCATCAAGTCCAACCCCCTGCTCAGGCAGGAAACCCTATACCATTTCGGACAAATGGCTGTCCAGTCTCTTCTTAAAAACTTCCAATGTTGGAGCATTCACCGCTTCTGGAGGCAGGTAGTTCCACTGGTTAATTGTTCTCACTGTCAGGAAGTTTCTCCTTAGTTCCAGGTTGCTTCTCTCCTTGATTAGTCTCCATCCGTTGCTTTTTGTCCTGCCCTTTTGGTGCTTTGGGGAATAGCTTGACTGCCTCTTCTTTGGGGCAGCCCCTGAGATATTGGAAGACTGAGGAATTCTGGGAGTTGAAGTCCACAAGTCTTAAAGTGGCCAAGTTTGAAGGCCCCCTGCATTATATCCTGTCTTTATAATTTTTTTCCTTTACAAAGATAGTTTGAAGTAGCCGTCTTTTGTTTAAATCTGGAGATTCTGAAGCTGAAGTCTCTCCTTATACAGAACCAGCCCCCCCATCCCAGCCAGATGCCCCCAAATCAGCGGTCTATTTGAGGGGGCCAAACTGAGGCCAAACACACCCAAACACAGCAACGTAGACTCAGCAATAGTCCAGCGTCACAAAGCACCATCAGCCAGGCGGTTCTCGGTTTAAACCTTCCTGTGGTTTAGCGTGTTGTGTGAAATCCGACTGGGGTGTGAATGGAAATACATAATGCGGTTTAGCACAGTAACCACATGGAAAGTGGTGTGAACGCCATCAGAGGTGTTAGTTTGAGGGCTGTTGTTGTTTGCCTGTGTTCGTGGAATGCAAAAGAAAAAAAAATAGAGATGCGGTTTTCTAAAAAAAAAAAAAAATAAAGCTAAAAGAGAGAAGCAGAGTAAATGGGATATACATTCCCAATGCTTTGTCTATAAACCATATCTGTATCTAGGTCTATATTTCTCTCTATCTAATCCGTATCCAGCCTGCCTGCCTGCCTGCCTGCCTGCCTGCCTGCCTGCCTGCCTGCCTGCCTGCCTGCCTGCCTGCCTGCCTGCCTGCCTGCCTGCCTGCCTGCCTATCTATCTATCTATCTATCTATCTATCTATCTATCTATCTATCTATCTATCTATCTATCTGTATCTGTCTGTCTATCTATGTATCTATCTGTGTCTGTCTCTATCTATCTATCTGTATCTGTCTGTCTCTATCTATCTATCTGTATCTGTCTGTCTCTATATCTATCTATCTCTCTGTCTATCTATGTTTATCTATCATCTGTATCTCTGTCTGTCTATATCTATCTATCATCTAAGTATCTGTGTCTATCTATCTATCTATCTATCATCTATCTCTGTCTGTTTATCTATTATATATCTATCATCTGTCTCTGTCTATATCTATCTATCTCTATCAGTCTGTCTATCTATCTATCTATCTATCTATCTATCTATCTATCTCTATCTGTTTGTCTATCCATCCATCCATCCATCTATCCATCCATATCTAATCTATATCCATATCCATGCCTATCTACCTCTATATAGCTATGTATCTATATCTATAATCTATCTATCTATCTCTATTAAAATACAATAGAGCCACTGAACTCTGGGATAGAAAACAACATTTTAATAAGTATATATATCTCTACTTATATATCTAAATATGTCTATGTGTCCATCTGTCCATCCCTGCCTCCCTTTTTTTGCCAGTCCCAATTGGGGTTGCTAAACGAGGACTGCCTATAAATCCTTTGCGCTGTGCCACCGCCAGAAAGCCGTGGTTACTCACCGGGCCTCACTTAGCCATTGCTTTACTTAAGGACCACGTTGCCAGTCCCAATTGGGGTCGGTAAACGAGGTCTGCTTATAAATCCTTTGCGCCGTGCCATTGCCAGAAAAACCATGGTTACTGACTGGTTTGTTGTGTCCGCCAGGGGCCGAGGTCTTGTCTGCGGAATTCATTCAAGGCCCAAGGAGCGCCTCACCCGAGGGAGCCACGGAGGCTTCAGGCGGACCCGCCACGGAGGAAAAGAAGCCCCGGCTGACCGAGGCGGAGAAAGCCATGAGGAGCGTGGACAAAATGGACGCAAAACGAGCAAGTAAGATGGCGGCGGTGATCCACATGTAGAAACCCTGGCTGAAAAAAAATGATAATTCTGCTTCCTGTCCTCCATACCTTTTCCTTGTTTTTTGTTTTTTTTTTTTAATATAAAAGCTGGGGCAGGGATGAGAAGCTGGTCCAGGCGGTCCCCGACTTACAGCCATTCGCTTAGTGACCGTTTGAAGTTAGCGCTGAAACAAAAGGATTTACAAATGGCGCAACCGGTCAGCAGATCAAAATTCAGGCCCTTGGCTGGTTTATATTTATGGCGGTCGCATTGCTCTGGGGTCACATGATCACCACCTTCCCAGCCGGCTTCCAACAAGCAAAATCAATGGGGGGGGGAGCAGGATTCGCTTAACGACCGCATGATTCACTTAACGACTGCATTGGTTCACTTACCGATTCTAACTCTAATAACTCTAATTCTTTCTAATCATTCTAATGCTAATAATTGCAATTCAATTCCAATTCTAATCCTAATCCTAATTAATTCTAATAATTCTAATTCTAATATCACTAATTCTAATAATTCCAATTCTAATTTTCATCCTAATTCTAATGTTAATAATTCTAATAATTCCAATTCAATTCCAATCCTAATCCTAATTAATTCTAATTCTAATAATTCTAATTCTAATATCTCTAATTCTAATAACTAATTCTAATAATTCCAATTCTAATAATTTCAGTTCCAATTCTAATCCTAATCCTAATTCATTCTAATTCTAATAATTCCAGTTCTAATTCTAATCTTAATCCTAATTCATTCTAATTCTAATAATTCTAATTCTAATAACTAATTCTAATAACTTTAATTCTAATAGTTCCAATTCTAATAATTCTAATGATTCCAATCTTAATTCTAATCCTAATAGTTCTAATTCTAATAATTCTATTTCTATTTCTATCCTATCCCTTTCTTTTCATGCCTTCCCCCTCATTTTTGGCGTCCAGGGATCATTCAGATCTCTTTTCCATCACACTAGATTTATCAACACTGAGTAGATTTGCCCAAATGAACCTACCCAGACATACCTTGGGTGTTCGTGATCAGATAAAACCAAGCCACCTCTGGAGACAAACGTTCCTTTTTTTTCCCTTCTATTTTTTCCAACCCAAACTACCTCTGTCCCCTTGGGCTAATATTTTTGTCTCTCCTTGCGCAGCCCCGAGGAAAAATGTCCACGGCGTGTCTTTGGAAAAGCATAGGATCGAGGCCGTCTCCGTAAAAAATGACGTGGCTGCTGTCGACGCCCTGAGGACTTCCGGAGGGGAAGAGTGCGATTCACACGCGTTGAACCTGTTGGCCGATTTAGCACTAAGCTCCTGTAACACTCCCTTGGACGGGAATGGTCGAAGAGACTTCGGACGTTTCCGTCCGTCCCGGGAATATCGTCTACCGCGAGGGAAATTTTTGCACAAATCATCCGATCACGAATATCACAGGGCTACCAAGAAATGGAAAGGCACTTTCGTGCCCGGACAATCCTCCCGATCATCTTTTTGGCCTGCCAGGGAGACCGGCCGGGACAGGGACTGGCCTTCGAACGTTAAGGACCGAAACACCGTGAATCCCAGCAAAAAAAAGAAGGCAAGGATCGACCTCACCAAATCTTCCCTGACCCTTCCAAACGAGACCGGGGACCTGTCGGATTCGGGCGTCATGATTTCGTTAGAGCACTCGTACGCCTCCCCCATCTCCGAGACCCTCCCAAAGGGGACGCCGCGTTCTCCCGATTCGAGGAATGGGGTGAAGCAGGATAAACCAGGTCCCTTGGTTGGAAAAGTGCTTCCTTTCCAGCACCAGCAGAATTCGTGCCAACTGGGCAAACCAGTTATGAACCATTTATCGCCCACTCGTTTTACCCTCATGGGGGCACGGCTGAGGGAGGACTTTTCCGCCAATCGCCGAGTGACTTCTGGCGATAAAACGGTCCAAGTTACTTTCCAGTGGGAGGCGAAATACCTCTTCAATGTGGATAGCAAATATACTAATAATTCCTTAGAAAAAACCGTCCTGCGGGCAGTCCACGGGTAAGTGAGGGTCCCATAGACAAAATAAATACCTGGTGCGGTTTGGGAGTAAAAGGAGTTTTCTCTGGGGATTCAAAATCACGGTTTGGTTAGTTCCCAAATCGATTTTGGAGGTGTTGAGGGGTAAGAACTGATGGATCTGGAATTGGGTTTCATCATTTAGCAAAAACATTGATCCGGCAAACAGCGGCGGCTGTAAAGATGACAGTTCTCTGTTGGGATTGTTAGAAAAAAAATTGACTGCAAAATTCAGCTTACTACAGATAGTCCTTGATTTACAACAGCTTGTTGGGTGGACCATTCGAAGTTACAACGGCACTGAAAAATGTGACTTACGACCACTTTTCGCGCTTAAGACCGCCGCAGCATCCCCGCGGTCATCTGATCAAAATTCAGACGCTTGGCAAGCGACTCATATTTATGACAGTTGCAGTGTCCCAGGGGTCCCCGCGTGATCCTCTTTTGCGACCGACTGACCGGCAAAGTCCAGGGGGACAACCAGGTTCACTTAATAACCGTGTGACTAATTTAACAGAGATTAAGAAAGCCATTAAAACTCTCCTGTTCCAGCAGGCCTGGGGCTGATGTCCCTGGGGGGGGGGGCGGGATATGATCGGACTCGCGGTATGATTGTATTATTTTATTATTGATGATTGTTTTAATTTTGTACGCCGCCCTGAGTCCTTTGGGATTGGGCGGCATATAAATAAAATTAAATAAATAAATAAATAAATAAATAAATTCACTTAGCAACATGTGGCAAGAAAGGTTGTAAAATGGGCGGGGCAAAAACGCGTGGAAGAAACGTCTCGCTTAGTGACGGAAACTGGCGGCTCAACTATGGTCGTAAGTCGAGGACTACCCGTAGTCTGGTGCATTTTGCTTGAGCTGTGAACTCTGGCGGCTTCCCGTTGCAAAGCCGAAATGCCCACTTTCGCTTCCTTTTCTTTAATTTTAGGCCCTGGGATGAAAATTTCTCAGATAACATGGAGGACATGAGGCTGATCCTGCACATGTGGATGGCGCTCTTTTATAGCAAAAAGTTCCAAGCCCTGACAGTACGAAAAGTGGTCGAACACAGTAACCCTGCGAAGTACGTGTCCCTGAACAGTCTGGTGGACCCTTTGGAGCCCATGGATGGTGGTGGTGGTGGAGCCTACGTTTTGGAGAAAGGCCCGGCAGATTCGGTCTCGGAAGCTCTCCAGATACCTGCTGAAGGAGGGGAAGATGGATCCGTTTCTCCTTCCGGGAAGCTCCTCTCGTGTAACAAATTGTCCTCCACCGACTCCTTAGAGGAAGAGAGTCCTCTGACTGAACTTGAAGAGACCGAGGACCTGCTTGAGAAGGAGGAACGGTCTCGTCCTCCTCTGAAGCCCGTTGAGGAGGTAAGGTTTTGGTTGGGCCCCTGAGAGCCAACGATGAAGGTGTAAATGGCTGCTCCGTGCGAGGGATACCAGAATATTTATCGTTCAAGGTGGAATTGTGGGGTCCTTGGTGCTCTCTGAGCTGGGTGGTTTTCTTGCAGATGTTTCATGGCCCAACTAGGTAACGTCATCCGTGCTAGGAGGATATAGGCATTATGGAGGGGAGGGGGAGGAGAAGGGGAGGAGGAAGAGGAGAAGGGGAAAGGAAGGGAAAGGAGGAGGAGGAGGGGAAGAAGGAGAAAGGAAGAGGAGGAGAACTGTGCCTCCTTAGTATTCTCTGAGCTTGGTTGTTCTCGCAGACATTTCATGACCCATTTAGGTAACATCATTAGTGCTAGAAGGGAGTGGGTTGGGGTGGGTGCAGGAGGAGGAAGAGAGAGGACTGTGGGATCCTGGGTGCTCTCTGAGCTTGGTGTTTTTCTTGCAGACTTTTCATGATCCGACTAAGGAACATCATCAGTGGTTGATGATATCAGTGAAAATAAAGTTACCTACCGTATTTTCCAGCATATAAGGCGACCCGGCGTATAAGATGACCCCCGACTTCGGCACCGAGTTGCATGCCTAGAAAGTCGTCTTATACGCCGGAAACTACCGTAATTTCCGGCGTATAAGACGACCCCTGACTTTTGCGCCGATTTCAATGCTTTAGAAAGTCGTCTTATACGCCGGAAAGTACAGTAGTTAAGTAAATGAAATGTCTACAACAGTGGTTCTCAACCTGTGGGTCGGGATCCCATTTGGGGTCGAACGACCATTTCACGGAGGTCGCCAAACAACGCAGTCCGCCATTTTTTCCCCCTTTTCCTTAGCTGTGCTACTCCCTTTTATTCTATTGGCTTTTGAAAGCCAATAGAATAGACTCTCTTGAATAGAGTCTAATTCTATTGGCTTTCAAAAGCCAATAGGAATTGTCCAGGCTGTCTCTGCCCTGCTGAGCCCGCCAAAAGTCCCATTCTGCAATGGTGCTGCACCAGTTGAGTAGTCCTCGACTTACGACCGGTTGGGGGTCGTGGCATTAAAAAGGTTGAGAACCACTGGTCTACAAGAAGACAACCAAGCTCAGAGAGCACGGGATACCCTGATGTTTTATTTAGCAACAAATCTGAAATCTGGCTATTTTTTTTTTTTTCAGGTGGTTGAAGCAGAGCCCAAAAAACGAACCTTGCTTCACCCTGTGCTTCCTATTGAATGCCTGCCTGGGGTTGATGAAGGTGTGAACCCTCCTACGTGTCAAACCAAGGCAGACAGAAGTGAAGAGACTAAGTCAGTTGGCCCTTCCCAAAACGATGCACTTGTGTTTACGGGTCTTCCGAACGGTTCGAGAAACCAGCAGCCCATCGCAAGCACCGAAGTTGCCATTTCCGTAGCAGATAGGAGAATTGATGTTGGGTCTTCTTCGGAAGAGTTGACGAAGGACGACCTCCAGGCTGGTGGTCCCAAGCTAGGAACGTCAGAAGCGATGGGGTTCAAAGAAGACGTGACATCTCAGGAATCCCCTAGTCCGGGAAGCAAAGTGGAAAATCAGCCTACCCTTCATACTGATCAGGAAGAAGGAGGAAGCATGGACTTGGGATCCATTGATCCCGTGCTGTCCGAAAGGAACGATGCTAACATGGAAGTCCAAGATATGGATCTGGTTTCAGAGGACGAGGAAGATCTCGAGGAGAATGATGTGAAAAGAAGGAAAGAAACGGATGGTATGTGGGATGAAACATCATCCAGACAAGATCTTCTCCCATCTAGGGCATCACCAGATACCTTGTCCGGGCATCGGACAGAATTCCAGACTGTCTCAGAAGCTGCTGTAGGACCATCCTCAAATTCTGTATCTCCAAACCAAATGGGATTGATTGAGATAGTCCCTCAGCAGGTGAGCTCCTTACATCCAATGACTGTTGAAGAAAAGATGGCTGGATCAGCCAAGAAGATGGATCCCACATCTCCAAGGCAAATAGACAAAGTGGAGGACTCACACGATGAAGTGATCTTAGCAGATTCAGTTTCCATTCAAGCTTCCGGAGACTTCCCAAATGATCTAGCGACAGATGATGGACCCTTACAAAATCAACAGGAATCGGTGGAAAGTCCTAGGTTTCCAAACCAAATTGATCCGGTTGACCTTTCCTCAGTTTCCCAAGAAGACAACGGGATCCGTTTGTCCTGTCTGCCTTCAGGGCAGGCTAGTCCTGTCCATCAATGCGCTTCTGATGAAGAGCCACCAAGGGTCCAGGAAGACCATCTGGAAAACCCCCTGTATCGCATCTTTCAAAGTTCAGTGGATCTGATTGAAGATATTTCTCAGGACAGCACAGAATTGGCCGATCCAGCTGTGCCTCTTTGCGAACCAAACAGCGACTTGGGCTTGAATTCGGTACCAAACAGTATATCAACTCTGCAGGAATTGGTGGAAAACCAAGAGAGCTCCATTGCATCCACTCAAGGTCTTCCCCTGGCCAAAGAAATGGATTTGGTTGAAAATCCTGAAGGAGAAGACCATCCAGCTAGTCCTCTCCAGCGGGAAACTCCTGACGAAGCTGCAAAATTGCGGGAAGATTCCAGTGCCAAACTGGATTTGCTTGAGAATTCTTCCGTTCCCCAAGAAAAGGATGTCGTTCACCCAACGGACAACGTTTCGGGACAAGTTAATGACCCTCAGCTTGTAGAGTTTGATTTTGGCACTCAAGAGGAGCAGACAGTCAGCCGGGGAGAAAAGATCCTGGTGAATTCTCAGCCCGCAGAAGAATCCCTGGAGTTGCACGATGTAGAATCTGAGACTTCTTTCAAGAATGAAACATGTTTGGGTCAAGAGAACATCAGAGATTCTTCTGCAAGAGAAGAAGAAGCCTCTGAGGATGAGGTTGAAAAATCAACTGTTATCATGGCTGCTGTAGCTGAAGAGGTCCATGCTTTAATGAATGAGCTGGTCGCTATGGTGTGTGCCACGATAGCTCAGAGTGAAGAAACGACGGCTCAGAAAAGTTTAGATTGGATTAATCTGGACATGTTAGAGAGTGTGACACCTCCGGAGAGCGATGATGAGGGTTCCTCAACTGTCCAGCATTCCCATGCGGACGTGAAATGCGCTGATGAATGTTTAGAACAGACTTCCACCTTTGATGACCAACAGGAAGACTTGCAAGCCAGGGTACAAGGAGAGTGGTGTTCATCCCCAAATGAGAACACGGCATCTGATCCAGGAGATGTTTCTGAAAAAGAAGACCTTCAAGACAATGATGCTACCTCAGCTGCCACGGGGATCTTCTCAAGTTGCGGCACAAGTCAAGAAGAGTTGGTCACCACCAACCCAAAAGGCAGATGGCTATGGCTTGAAACCACCGACTACGCTGCAAAGGTGGATGACTACGGTACGTCCACTTTGGAAAAAGTGGAGCAAACGAAGGTCAATCCGGAAGAACCCATTTGTAACAGGGATGACCGTTCTAGAGGAGAAGATGTGGAGAACCCATCCTCTGTCCCAGCAGAAGGTCAGGAGGACTCTTTGGCAGAAGAACCCGATCCTTTGGTTGACGGAGATTCCAAACAAGCTCCAGATGATCAGGAAGAAGAGGCCCAAGTAGAAGTAAAGGAGTGTCTGGGAAGTCTTGAAGACCCTCTAATTGATGAAAGGACACAGTTGACTACCAGTTCTTCGAGCATGGATGTAGACTGGGAAGACAAGTCTCTGACGGCGGAGAGCAGTCAAGATCCCTGCGTAGATTGGTATCCCACAAGTAAACGTGAGAGTTTGGATCAACCAAGCTTCAAGGCCTCCCCAAGCATTGAGTCCGAGTTGACCTGTAGTTCAGGTCCTGGGAAGGAGACTTGTAAAGATGGGGATTGGGTATCCTCAGAAGCTAGCCAGAAGGCATCAGATGCCGGGTCCACGAAACACAACTTTCCTTTCGGTTTAAAAAAAGAGGATTGGTCATTATGGCTGTCTCTTGATGAGGACCATAAGCCCGAGCACTTCAAGGATTATATCAATTTCTCCGTCACCAAGAAGCACAAGGAAAAAACGAGGACTTTCCACTCCTTCTCCAAAGAGCACAGCCCCTTCTCCAGGGATTTGGGATTGATCAACTCCTGGAGCAGGAACTGGGGTTTTCTGAGCAATCCGATTCAAAACATTGTAGACCTGGAATCCGTGCGATTCCATTGCAGGATCCGAGAGATCCTGAAGAGATCACAACAACGTTCTACCTCCCGTGTGCTTCCCACCAAGAAGGTCCCACCTCAAGGGATAGGAGCAGTGGTGCCGTCGTCGAGAACGATCTCCGAAGGGACAATCGCTAGGTTTCCTGTTAGGAGCAGAAGTCCGCTTCTCGTCACCGTTGCGAACTCAAACCCGAGGACCGGTGGCCGACGCGAGGACTTCTACGGCCCGTTTCCTGCCACCCAGGATCCATTTGGCCCAGCTGTTGCGCCGAGGAGTCAAAGTGGACTCGGTCCAAAGCGTCCCTTCCCTTCTTTGCACCTCCAGGAACTGACCTACCATAAGCTAAACAATTTCTCCCGGGACATCTCGTCCGTTGTCGAAGAGTTTGCCGAGTTCGGCAGAGCGATGGCCTTTGACAGCATGCGGATGTGCAACCCAGAGAGAGATCCCACTGCTACCTCAGGAGAGGCGGGGGAGAAACGGTACCTACCTCGGCCTCCCAAGACGCTCGGCTACGAGGATCTCCTTGCCGCGCTGCGCAACACACTACACTTCCAGCTGACAAACGTAGCCCAGGAAGCGTGCCGAAAGCCTTTCTCATTCTACGTGATGGAAACGGAAGACGACCCGTTCTTCGGGAGAGTAAAGGTAGGACATGGCGGGGGAATAAAAATCTAATCAGTTACGGGCTTTGCCAGTCCCTTCCATCAACTGCCTCAATCAGGCTGTTCCTAACAAAGACGGTGAATCCTCTAATGCAGTGGTTCTCAACCTGTGGGTCGGGACCCCATTTGGGGTCGAACGACCATTTTATGGGGGTCGCCAAACAACGCAGTCCGCCATTTTGTTTTCCCCTTTTCCTTAGCTGTGCTACTCCCTTTTATTCTATTGGCTTTTGAAAGCCAATAGAATAGACTCTCTTGAATAGAGTCTAATTCTATTGGCTTTCAAAAGCCAATAGGAATTGTCCAGGCTGTCTCTGCCCTGCTGAGCCCGCCAAAAGTCCCATTCTGCAAACGGTGCTGCACCAGTTGAGTAGTCCTCGACTTACGACCGGTTGAGTAGTCCTCGACTTATGACCGGTTGGGGGTCGCGGCATTAAAAAGGTTGAGAACCACTGCTCTAATGAGCAAACATACATAGTACTTCTTACTCCTTTCCCCACAAAAACCCTGTGAGGTGGGTTGAGCTGAGGTAGAGGGATTGGTCCACAGTCAGCTGGCTTTCATGAGTAAGGCAGAACTAGAACTCACCATCTCTGGGTAATTGGTCCAAGGTCACCCAGCTGGCTTTTGTGCCTAAGGCAGAACTAGAACTCACTGTCTCCTGGTGATTGGCCAAAGTCACCCAGCTGGTTTTTGTGCCTAAGGCAGAACTAGAACTCACTGTCTTCTGGTGATTGGCCAAAGTCACCCAGCTGGCTTTTGTGCCTAAGACAGAACTAGAACTCACTGTCTTCTGGTGATTGGCCAAAGTCACCCAGTTGGCTTTTGTGCCTAAGACAGAACTAGAACTCACTGTCTTCTGGTGATTGGCCAAAGTCACCCAGTTGGCTTTTGTGCCTAAGACAGAACTAGAACTCCCTGTCTTCTGGTGATTGACCAAAGTCACCCAGCTGGTTTTTGTGCCTAAGGCAGAACTAGAACTCACTGTCTTCTGGTGATTGGCCAAAGTCACCCAGTTGGCTTTTGTGCCTAAGACAGAACTAGAACTCACTGTCTCCTGGTGATTGGCCAAAGTCACCCAGCTGGTTTTTGTGCCTAAGGCAGAACTAGAACTCCTGATTTCTAGGCCAGTATACCTTAACCACTACACCAAACTGGCTGTGGTTTGAGGAGGATACACAAACATCCCTCGTAACAATTTGTGCTGTTGCTCAAATGGAAATTGCATCAGACTGCGTCCTCTTTACGCAGACAATGCAGAACGGTGCAACACAACAGGATTCTTCCACGCGCAGCTGAGTCTGCTAAAACCAGGCGTCTCTGTGTGTGTGTTTGTGGTTCTCCTCACCATGGCTGTCGTTTTTTTGTGTTTCGTGGATGGATTTAACAACTGCGTCTCCTTCCAGAATTTGCTGAAAAGGGGAGGTCACACCGAAGTGGACCTACTGCACTTGCGCAAACAAAGTGATGTGGAAACGGGGAACCTGCTGGTTATCGTTCGAAACGAGGACATTTTCTTACACATCCACAAAGTAGGTTCAGAACTCACTTTCGGCTCTTGCAGGAAGTAATTCTCAGCCATTGATCACCAACAGAGCAGGATTTCTGCCTTGTTGAAGACATTTTGGGGGATGTGGTAGATCACAGAATAACAGAGGTATAAGGGACCTTTAGAGGTCTTCTAGTCCAACTGCCTGCTCAAGCAGGAGACTCTATATCGACAAATACTTGTCCTGCCTGCTCTCTAAAATTACCCAGAGCTCCCACAACTTCTGGAGACAAGCTCTTCCTTCCTTCCTTCTCTCCCTCCCTCCCTCGTTCCCATCTCTTTCCTTTGTCTGTCTGTCTGTCTGTCTATCTATCTATCTATCTATCTATCTATCTATCTATCTAATCATCTATCTATCTAATTTATCTATCTATCATCTATCTACTATTTATCTCTATATCTAATCATCTATCTATCATCTATCATCTATATCATCTATATATATCTATCTAATCATCTATCTAATTTATCTATCTCATCTATATCTATCTAATCATCTTTCTATCATCTATCTATCTATCTATCTATCTATCTATCTAATCATCTATCTAATTTATCTCATCTATATCTATCTAATCATCTTTCTATCATCTATCTATCTATCTATATATCTATATATCTAATCTATCTATCTAATCATCTATCTAATGTATCTATCTCATCTATATCTATCTAATCATCTATCATCTTTCTATCTATCATCTATCTATCTATCTATCTAATCATCTATCTAATTATCTATCATCTATCTATACTATTTATCTATCTCTATCTAATCATCTATCTAATCATCTATCTATCATCTATCATCTATCCCTATATATCTATCTAATCATCTATCTAATCTATCTAATTTATCTATCTATCATCTATCTAATCAGCTATCTATCTATCTATCTATCTATCTATCTATCTATCTATATCTATCTGTCTATCACTGGAAGTTTTTAAGAAGAGACTGAACAGCCATTTCTCTGAAATGGTATAGGGTTTCCTGCCTGAGCAGGGGGTTGGACTAGATGACCTCCAAGGTCCCTTCCAACTTCATCATCATCATCATCATCGTCATCATTATTATTATTCATCTCATCTCTCTATTTCAGGGGTGTCAAACCGCGGCCCCCCATTGCCGGCAATGGGGAAAAAGTCACGATACGCCGCGACACGTCACGTGATGTTGCGAGTTTGACACCCCTGATCTCTTTGGTGCTTCCACAGGTCCCTTCCTTGCTGCGTCTCAAACACTGCCCCAACGTGACTTTCGCCGGGGTGGACAGCCCCGAAGATGCGCTGGCTCACACCTATCAGGAGCTGTTCCACAGCGGAGGCTTTGTGGTGTCCGATGACGACGTGCTGCGGGGGATGAGCGTGGGTGAGTCTGCTCACTTCGGACAGCCGGTTTGCAAATTCTTCAGCTCAGCTGGGAAGGAAGGAGGGGGGGTCTGCTCTTCACGGCCGCATCAACTGTAGGTGGAGCCACTGGTCCCCGCCCCGCCCCTGGGGAAGTAACCCGTTTGTCATTTGGGCATGCTGGCTGGGGAATTCTGGGAGTTAAAATCCATCAATCTTAAAACATGCTGGCTGGGGAATTCTGGGAGTGGAAGTCCACTGATCTTAAAGCGTGCTGGCTGGGGAATTCTGGGAGTTGACGTCCTCCCATCTGAAAGTAGGCAATGTTTTTTTTTTTATTGAAATTTTTTAAAATTTTTACAAGAAAAAAAAACAACCCTCCCCAACCCACCCCAACCCTTCCACTCCCTCCCTCAGCCTTCCCAGAGCTGAATATAGGCTTAATTAAAATTTCTTGAATTCTTAAAAAAAGTATAAACCATAGATAAGTCTAAATACATTACTTAAACAACTAATAGAATGATTAACAATAATATATATATAAGAAAAAACCATAAATATTAAAGAAAAGAGAAAAAAAAGAATACTTAAAAAGAGAAAGAATAAAGAGAAAGAAAGAAGAAAAGAGATATAAGAAAATAAAGTAATAATAAAAATATAAAGAAAAAGAAAAAATAATACAATCTATAAAATATTAAAATTAAATATAAGTTATTGAAAAACTAAATAATATTTTTTATATCCAACTTGTGTTGTATGAAATCTATCCATTTTTCCCATACCACAAAAAACTTCTCTTGCGATTGATCCTTTAAGAAAGAAAGTAGGCAGTGTTGAGAACTACTGGACTAATGGTGGGGCCCTGCTCTTTACTCTAGGGGAGCTGAAAGACGTGATCAAAACTCTGGAGAAACTCAACAGTCATGGACGATGGAAGTGGTTCCTCCACTACCAAGAATCCAAAAAGCTCAAGGAAGATGGCAGGTGAGATCAATCAGATCGTTGCTGGAAGGGACCTTGGAGGTCTTCTAGTCCAACCCCCTGCTCTGCCTTCCCAAGAACCTCCTCCTCGCTCTCAGTCCTGCTTCCCCATTGGCTCACACCCAACTGTACCAAATCTGCACACCATATATATATGTGGATCAGCTCATCTGCAGCAGAAACTAACCCTCAATTTTTTTAACCCAAATCCCAACAAAAATACACGACAAATTGACTTATTTGTGGGTGGCACATTTTTCGTGGTATTTTGATTGAAAATTTACAGCTCTGCTCATCTGCCAGTATAATCCTGGGAGTATACTTTGGCACTTAAAATTCTTGGCCAATCTGCGGGTATATACGCTAGTCCTCATTAAACAAAGAAGCACATTATACGAGGACCACGTTCATTCAGAAAGGGGTTCGTTCATTCAAGCAGGGCCCAATACCGGTCTGTGAATGAGGCCATTTTGTTTAACCAGGGTTATCTGTAAGTACGTTGCGGGAAGCTGGCCAACGCAGTTTCCACGGGCAATTTTATTTTATTTATTTTATTTAGATTTCTTACACCCTCCATCTCCCCTCAAGTCTCTGTGCAGTTTACAACAACATCATAAGGCCATATAAATCTATCAACAAAAGCAGAATTTGAAAACTGTATTAAAAACAAGTTAAAACTTAGAAGTGAAAACAAATCAGATTAAAATTCAAATGCTAGATGATAGTAATAATAATAATAATAATAACAACAACAACCATCAGCACCAGCCAATTTGAATGTTCAGTTGACTGAGGTTCATGTCTAATGAATAAAAGATAATAATAATAATAAAGTTGGAAGAGACCTTGGAGGTCATCTAGTCCAACCCCCTGCTCAGGCAGGAAACCCTACACCATTTCAGACAAATAGCTGTCCAGTCTCTTCTTAAAAACTTCCTTGATTTACAACAGTTGGTTTAGCGACTGTTCAAAGTTACAATGACGCTGAAAAAAGTGACTTATTTTTTCATATTTACGACCGTTGCAGCAGGCCCGTGGTCACGTGATCAAAATTCAGATGCTTAGCAATTGACTTGTATTTATGACGGTTGCAATGTTCCGGGGTCACGTGATCCCCTTTTGTGACCTCAAGAGAAGCAGAGTCAATGGGGGAAGCCAGATTTGCTTAACGACCATGCTGCTAAGTTAATAACTGCTTCACAATTCTAGGAAGAAAGGCCATAAAAGGGGGCAATATTCATGTTTCGCTTAGCAACGGAAATTTCGGGCTCCGTTGTGGTCGTAAGTTGAGGACTTCCTGTATTATGGTGGGTGGAAAGTGGGAGATGTCCGTGGACAATATTGCTTTCGCCCCCGCCCCCCCCCCGCAAGAGGGACAATGAGCTGGGCTGATGGACTGGGGACCCGGTGAAATTGCCACCTGCTCAAGGGATCACCTCTTGGTCTTCTTTCTTCCTGCAGGGGGGATCCTGCTGCGTACACCAAGGAGTCAGTCCTGAAATCCTGCCAGGTGGCTAACCTCGCCGAAGTCCTCCACTACCACGGGTGCGACTCCAGATCCTGCACGAGATTCGAGCGCCTCAACTGCCTCTTGAACTTGCAGATTCAACACCTCACCAGGAGGTTCGCCGTGTTCCTCACAGGTAGGAACACGTGTTCCCCCCCCCCCCGTTGCCGTCTTCCCCACCCCCCAAAAAAAAGGTAGGAAGAATTTCGACCATGTTGGCCATGCACGCCGCTCCTCTCTTCCGGAACACCCTTCCCTTTGCAGATACAGGCAGTCCTCGACTTAACGAGCGGAACCGAACATTTCCGTCGCTAAGCGAGACACTGGCTACGTGAGCTTTGCCCCAGTTTAGGGCCTTTTTCTCGCCACAGTTGTTGAAGTGAACCCCTGCAGTGGTTTAAGTCCGGCGTACAGTTGTTAAGTGAAGCTGGCTTCCCCTGTTGGTTTTGTTTGACGGAAGGTCCGGGCGAGAGTAAGTTCGTTGTAACTTCAAACGGTCACTAAGCGACCGGCCCCCTCTTAAGTCCATTGTGACTTTGAACGGTGGCTAAGCAACCCAATGTACGTCTAGTTTGATTTATCTAGTTCAGTGGTTCTCAACCTTTTTAATGCTGTGACCCCAACCGGTCGTAAGTCGAGGACTACCCAACCGGTCGTAAGTCGAGGACTTTCCCTGCCCGGGAGCACTGTGCATGCGTGGTGCTGCCCCCTGTGCCAGCTGAGGCATAGCTGGCAAGCGGCAGAGACGGAACAGGCCGACCACCGGCTGGGCCACCAGCTGGCCCAGCCCAAGGGAAGTAAGGCACCCGCCGGGCCCCACACACGCCAGCAACCCTCCCTGCGCCCGCCGGCCTCCCACCTCCCACCCCTGGCCCTCTTTTACTTAGATTGTTAGTAGTTGCTCAGCAGGGAGGGGTGGAAACTTCCAGACAGCTCGCCTTCGCTGCAGACAACTCGCAGCCCCGTTTGCAGAATGGGACTTTTGGCGGGCTCAGCAGGGCAGAGACAGCCTGGACAATTCCTATTGGCTTTTGAAAGCCAATAGAATGAGACTCTATTCAAGAGAGTCTCTTCTATTGGCTTTCAAAAGCCAATAGAATAAAAGGGAGTAGCACAGCTAAGGAAAAGGGGGGAAAAAATGGCGGACTGCGTTGTTTGGCGACCCCCGTGAAATGGTCGTTCGACCCCAAATGGGGTCCCGACCCACAGGTGGAGAACCGCTGATCTAGTTGGATATGGCATCCGATGCCATCCTTGCCTCTTTTCTGGGCTCTCGTGGCCTGTCTGGGCCTGTGATTCCCTTCTGTGAAATGGGTGCAGACCTGGAAGGATGACTTTCCTTGTTCCGTCCAGGAGAGTGACCTCTGCTTTTGCCTTTCAGAAAATGCCAGCACTTGCCGGGAAGCCTTGGAGGACAAAGGGATTCTCCGCCTGGACATCACCGGCTTCATCGCAGCCGCTCCAGAGATGGTGGCGCCCTTCAGAAGCAGCTTCTGGTAAGGAAAGCGGCGGGATCCAGAAAGTGGACAACAAAAAGAAGCATCGATGGCGCATTTTGGAAGTCGACTGAGGATGTTTATTTTATTTTATTACTTTATTATTCTATTTTATTTTATTATTGTATTTTATTTTATTATTGTATTGTGCTATATTATTATTTCATTTTACATTTATTTTATTTTTTTTATTTGATTATTCTATTTTATATTATTTTATTATTGTATTGTGCTATATTATTTTATTTTACATTTATTTTATTTTTTTTATTTGATTATTCTATTTTATATTATTTTATTATTGTATTTTATTTTATTGTATTGTGCTATATTATTTTATTTTACATTTATTTTCTTTTTTTATTTGATTATTCTATTTTGTATTATTTTATTTTAATTCATTGTATTGTGCTTTATTATTATATTTTACATTTATTTGATTTGTTTTATTTTGATAATTTTACATTGTTTTATTTATATTTCATATTTTATTTTACATTATTATATTTTACATTTTATTTTATTGTATTATTTTATATTTGATTTGATTTATATTACTAGTTTATATTAATTTTACATTTTATTTTATTTTTTTATTTTATATTTTATTATTGTATTATGCTATATTATTTTATTTTACAATTATTTGATTTATTTTCTTTTGTTTTCTTTTATATTTTTACATTTTTTTTATTTTGTTTTTATATTTCATATTATTTTATTTTACACTATTTTTTATATTTTATTGTATTATTTTGTATTTGATTTGATTTATTTTATTTATATTACTATTTTATATTAATTTTACATTTTATTTTATTATTTTATTTTATTGTATTGTGTGCTATTTTATTTTACATTTGATTTTTCTTTTGTTTTCTTTTATCATTTTCTTTTACTTTATATTTCATATTATATTTTATTTTACATTTTGTTTTATATTTTATTGTATTATTTTATATTTGATTTATTTTATTTACATTACTATTTTATATTAATTTTACATTTTATTTTATTATTTTATTTTATTGTACTATGCTATATTTTATTTTACATTTATTTGATTTATTTTCTTTTAGTTTTCTTTTATCATTTGCTTTTATTTTATATTTCATATTATATTTTATTTTACATTTTATTTTATATTTTATTGTATTATTTTATATTTGATTTATTTTATTTACATTACTATTTTATATTAATTTTACGTTTTATCGTTTTATTGACTGCCCACCTCATGAAACAACTTTTTAGTGGCAGTTAATCCCCCCCCCACACACACACACAAGAAAGAAACTGGGCAGGAAATAATTTCCTGAGGAGGAAAACTATTAGACAAATTAGTCCTCAACTTACAACATTTTGTATAGTGACTATTCAGTTACAAACACCACTGAAAAAGGTGACTTAGTACCATTTTTCACACTTACGACCACTGCAGCACCTCACGGTCACATGATCGAAATTCGGTTACATTTGGCAAGTGACGCGTATTTACGACGGTCGCGGCGTCCCGGGGGAGCGGGTGTCACGTGACCCCTTTTTTGCGACCATCTGACAAGCAGAGCCAATGGGAGGAAAGCCGGATTAATTTAACAACGGTGTTACCGGCGGAACAATTGCAATGATTCGTTTAACGATGGTGGCAACTCGTAAAATGGGGGCAAAACTCGCTTAACATCCGTCGTCCTCAGCGGTGGAAGTGGGGATCAATGGCGATTGTTATTTGAGGACTATCTCGATGTTTGTTCCAGGTAACCAGGATCGACGCCTTCGGCCTCTTGGCAACCGGCCAGGGATCGCGACGCCAAACCGACTTTTCCCTTCGTTCCCGGAGACCCCGGACTCTCATCCCGCTCACTCCAATTAAGCAGCCACCAATGCCGTTCGAGGTCAAGCAGACGGTCCTCACTTCCCCCGGCCGGTTTTATTTAAGGGCCGGGGCAAGGATTTGGGTGGGGTGGGGGGAAAGGGGGGGCGTTGTTTTATTTAACCACAACGTGGAACCTCAGAAGGAAAATGCGTTTTGTGCTCGTCCGTCTCTCTCTCTCTCTTGCGTAGGAAAGCAAAGGCTGGGAAACCGGGACACTCAATGGTGCAGCTCAGTTCTCTCATAGGAAACATTTAAAAAATCTGCTTACTTGAAGGGTTAGGGATCGGTTGACCTCAGCCCAACACTTCAGACACCAGACACGGTTGGCGCACTCCAAAAGTGTGTGTGTGGTGGGGAGGGGGCGGTTTAAAGTGTTGCACAGGCACTGTGTTAGGCAGGGGTGTCCAATTCCCCAGCCAGTGGACTTCAATTCCCAGAATTCCTCACCCATTGGACTTCCAACTCCCAGAATTCCCCACCCATTGGGCTTCAACTCCCAGAATTCCCCACCCATTGGACTTCCAACTCCCAGAATTCCCCACCCATTGGACTTCCAACTCCCAGAATTCCCCAGCCAGTGGACTTCCAACTCCCAGAATTCCCCAGCCATTGGACTTCCAACTCCCAGAATTCCCCAGCCATTGGACTTCCAACTCCCAGAATTCCTCACCCATTGGACTTCAATTCGCAGAATTCCTCACCCATTGCACTTCCAACTCCCAGAATTTCCTACCCACTGCACTTCCAACTCCCAGAATTCCCCACCCATTGGACCAACCCCCAGAATTCCCCACCCACTGGTCTTCAACTCCCAGAATTCCCCACCCGTTGCACTTGAATTCTGGGAGCCGAAGTCCACCTCTCTTAAATTAAGTCACCCAGTCTGGACACCCCTGGTGCGCTGTGCTCACTTTAACACAACTCCTCTGCAATTGTGCTCCTCCAGGGTGCACGACAACTGTGCTGCCTGCGTCTTGTGGAGTTTTAGGATTCTGGATGTTTTGCAATGATCATTTACCTTTACGAGGGGCGTTTTGCGGGGGGGGGGGGGGAAATGGGGGGAGGAAGAGGGGCGACAAAATAGATAATCAGAGTTAGTAGCACTTGATTTCTCTTGTAGATAGCATGGTTTGTTTGGGTTCTGGAGTTAGGCCTCTCTCTCTCTCTATTAAGAGGTCTGTTCATGGTATTGCAATAATAAAAGGGTTCCCCCCCCCTCATTTGCTGCACTAATAAAAATTAGGCCTTGTAAGTTATCTTCCCCCATCTTTGGGGAACCACACACAAAAAAAGAATTCTTTTGTAACTAATCTTTATAAATAAAGTTGACTTGAAAAGGCTTAGTGGAATTATTCAGGGGGAAGCGGACAATTCCCCAAATAATAATAAAACTCAACGAACTAGAGGCGTAACCACACACCAAGGGCGTTACCAATGGACAATGGGAAAATAATCTAAATTTTATATTATTTCGGCAGTTGGGGATGACCTGTATTTATTAATTTGATTTTTATCCCGGCTTTATAACTTTATAGGTTTGACTCGAGGCGGTGAATGTAAAATCGTATTTTCCTTCCTTCCTGTTTTCCTCAACAACCACCCTGTGAGGTGGGTTGGGCTGAGGCGGACTGGCCCAATTGGGCTTCGTGCTAAGATGGAGCTAGAACTCACAGGCTCCTGATGATTAGGGAACATCCTCAGTGTTAGAAGGGAGTGGAAAGGAGGACGACTCTGGGATCCTGGGTCTCCCCAAGCTGGGTGATTTTCTTGCAAATGTTTCATGACCCAACTAGGGAACAGCATCAGTGGTAGAAGGGAGTGGGGTTTGTGGGGAGGAGGAGACCTGTGGGGTCCTCGGTGCTCTCTGAGCTTGGTGGGTTTTTTGCAGACATTTCATGACCCAGCTAGGGAACATCATCAGTGCTAGAAGGGAGTGGGGGCTGCGAGGAGGATTGTGAGGGTCCTTGGTGCTCTCTGAGCTGGGTGGTTTTCTTGCAGACGTTTCACGACCCAACTAGGGAACATCATCAGTGCTAGAAGGGAGTGGGGTTTGTGGAGAGGAGGAGCTGGAGGAAGGGGCTGTGGGGTCCCTGGTGTTCTCTTGAGCCTGGTGCTTTTCTTGCAGACTTTTCTTGACCCAACTAGGGGACATCATCAGGGTTAGAGGGAGTGGGGTTGTGGAGAGGAGGAGGAAGAACGACTGTGGGGTCCTTGGTGCTCTCTGAACTTGGTGGTTTCCTTGCAGACGTTTCGTGAGCCAACTAGGGAACATCATCAGTGAACTGGTTTTACTTGCACAGCACCGCACCGCACTAATGCAGCACCTTTTCCCCACTCGACCAAACCTCAGCCTCCCTCCACCCAATACCACAAAAAAAAAAAAAACCCAAAAGGTCCCGAAACGCAGGCGACAGCGCGCGCATGCACACACACGCACGCCTTGCCCACACCAGCGTTTTCATGCTTGCACCGGTTTTTTCTTTTTCTTTTTTTTATTAGTAGCACTTTTAAAACACAAACAGAAGCCTCGCGGCGCAGTTGTGTCCCAACAGATGTAAACAAGTTTTGAGAAGCTTAGGAGGACGGGGGAGATTTAAGGAGGGGGGTTTAAACAAAAAAAAATGAACCCAAAAACCGCAAAATTGTCGGGGACTCTTTTTTTAACGAGCTGCCGCTTCAGGAGGGGCAGCTGGAAGGCAGCTTTTGGCAGGCGAGCAGATTCGATGGGAACTTTTGGCTGGCATGAAATGGGATATTTTTATTTTCTTGGGGGGGGGGGAAGAGAGAAAGGCTGATATCAGGGCATGGACCGCCAGGATTTGGGGGGAAAAGATGGTAGTCTGGGGGGGGGCTAAGAGAGACCCTCTGGCTGGTGGTCCTTGTGTCCCATTTTACCCCCATCCCACTCGGGAACCGGCTGGCTTCTCTTTCTTTCTTTCTTTCTTTCTTTCTTTCTTTCTTTCTTTCTTTCTTCTTTCTTTCTTTCTCTTCCTTCCTTTCTTTCTTTCTTTCTTTCTTTCTTTTTCGAAGGGCTGAGAGCGGAGTTAGCAAAAGAGTTAGAGAGAGAGAGTTGTGGGGGTTGTAGCACCTGCCAATCTGAACACCGCAACCTGAAATGGACACATGATTATATCGGAAAAGAGAGGGAGGGAGGGGTTTGGATCAGCGCAGGGTCCTTTCAATCTCCAGAGATATGATTCAGGGAGGGAGGGCAGAGAAAGAGAGAGGGATGGAGGGAAGGAAGGAAGGAGGCAGAGAGGGAAAAAAAAAACAGGGCCTTACAACGGTGAGCTGGGTATGGCGCTCAGCTTAAAAGGTCCTCCGTGCGGGGGGGGGGGGCGCCCCCAGCCAGCGGCCGAGAGCCAGGGAGTGGGGTGGGGTGGGGTATTGAGAGACGTCCTGGCCCCGCTCACTGCTGCTCCTCCTCTCCGTAGATGTCGTTCTTCTTCCGCTTCATCTCTTCGAAGTCGAACTCGGAGCCCATCATCCGCTTGTAAATGTCTTTGATGTCATCGCAGGTGGTCTCAAAGTGGGTGGTGGGGTCGTAGGTGCGGGAGATAAAGATCTGGCCGGAGTGGGGGAAAAAAAGGGCAGAGGGTGCCTGTCACCATCAGAGTTTGGGGGGTTTTTTTCTTTCTTTCCTTTCTTTTTCTCTTTTCTCTCTTCTTTCTGGATCTTCCTTCCCTCATTTCCCTCTTCCCAAATCCTTCCTTCTCTTCCTTCCTGCTTCCCTTCCCCTTCCTTCTTGGCTACCTTTCTCCTTCCTTCTTCCCTCCCTCCCCTCCTTCCCTTTCTTCCTTTCCCTATTCCCAAATCCATCCTTCCAATCTTCTTTCCTCCTTCCTCTCTTCCCAAATCCTTCCTTCCATCCTCTCTTCTTCCCTCCCTCTCTCCTTCCCTTTCCTCCTCCTCTTCAAACACGTTTCTTTTCTTCCTTCCTCCCTTTCCCTCTTCCCAAATCCTTCCTTCCTTCTCTCCTTTTTCCCTTCCTTCCTCTCTTCCCCAATTCTTCCATCCTTTCTCTCATCTTCTTCCCTCTTTCCTTCCCTTCCTTTCCCCCTCTTCACGCACGTTTCTTTTCTTCCTCCCTTTCCCTCTTCCCAAATCCTTCCTTCTCTTCCTTCCTGCTTCCCTTCCCCTTCCTTCTTGGCTACCTTTCTCCTTCCTTCTTCCCTCCCTCCCCTCCTTCCCTTTCTTCCTTTCCCTATTCCCAAATCCTTCCTTCCAATCTTCTTCCCTCCCTTCCTTCCTCTCATCCTTTCTCTCACCTTCTTCCCTCTCTCCTTCCCTTCCTTTCCTCTTCACGCATGTTTCTTTTCTTCCTTCCTCCCTTTCCCTCTTCCCAAATCCTTCCTTCCATCTTTCTCTCTTCTTCCCTTCCTTCCTCTCTTCCCCAATCCTTCCTTCCATCCTTTCTTCTCTCATCTTCTTCCCTCCCTCTCGCCTTCCCTTCCACCCTTCTTGTTCTTTGATTAGGCAATTAAACGTGACAAAGATGAAAAACACGAAGCATTAAATTTAGAAGCAAATGAAATGGAAGGACCAGTGCATAAACGGGGTCCTCCCCCCATAAACAGTCTTGCCCCCCCCCTCTTCATACCAACCTGGCTTTCTCTGCCCAGGTCGGTTGGTGAAAACATGTCGCTGACACTAACAAATCTACGAGGAAGGAGAAAGAGAAGATCAATCCAGGAAGATTCCAGCCAACAGGGCGGTGAGAGCCGACCCAACAACAAAAAAAATAAATAGATCTGGTTTTATTTCAAAGGCACAAACTGTATATATTGGGATTTCTGTCTGATGCCTCTGGTGGGGTGGGAGTTTGGCAAAAAAAACCCAATATCTGGTACATTTTGATCTTGTGGGATTAAGGCAGGGGTGTCCAGCCTTGTAAAACTGGTGGACTTCAACTCCCAGAATTCCTGGCAAACTTGTAAGACTGGCGGACTTCAACTCCCAGAATTCCTGGCAGACTTGTAAGACTGGTGGACTTCAACTCCCAGAATTCCTGGAAGACTTGTAAGACTGGTGGACTTCAACTCCCAGAATTCCTGGCAGACTTGTAAGGCTGGTGGACTTCAACTCCCAGAATTCCTGGCAGACTTGTAAGGCTGGTGGACTTCAACTCTCAGAATTCCTGGCAGACTTGTAAGACTGGTGGACTTCAACTCTCAGAATTCCTGGCAGACTTGTAAGACTGGTGGACTTCAACTCCCAGAATTCCTGGCAGACTTGTAAGACTGGTGGACTTCAACTCCCAGAATTCCTGGCAGACTTGTAAGACTGGTGGACTTCAACTCCCAGAATTCCTGGCAGACTTGTAAGACTGGTGGACTTCAACTCTCAGAATTCCTGGCAGACTTGTAAGACTGGTGGACTTCAACTCCCAGAATTCCTGGCAGACTTGTAAGACTGGTGGACTTCAACTCCCAGAATTCCTGGCAGACTTGTAAGACTGGTGGACTTCAACTCCCAGAATTCCTGGCAGACTTGTAAGACTGGTGGACTTCAACTCCCAGAATTCCTGGCAGATTTGTAAGACTGGTGGACTTCAGCTCCCAGAATTTCTAGCAGACTGGTAGACTTCAACTCCCAGAATTCCTGGCAGACTTGTAAGACTGGTGGACTTCAACTCCCAGAATTCCTGGCAGACTTGTAAGACTGGTGGACTTCAACTCCCAGAATTCCTGGCAGATTTGTAAGACTGGTGGACTTCAACTCCCAGAATTTCTAGCAGACTGGTAGACTTCAACTCCCAGAATTCCTGGCAGACTTGTAAGACTGGTGGACTTCAACTCCCAGAATTGGGTCATGAAGTTGGAAGTCCACCAGTCTTAAAAAGTCTATGGAGATCTTCCATCCTCCACCAGGTTCATGGCTGTCCCAAAGATGCTTTTTTTCTTTAGGAGGACTTCCACTGGACTTCCTTGTTTTTCTTTCTCATCCCAGAAGGATCCTCCCGTTCCTCACCATCCAGTCCGAACGGAAGAACTTCTGGAATGAGAAGTGAAACCTCTTCCAAGAAAAACCAGAAAAGTCCAGCGGCCTGGAAAAGGGTGGGGGGGGGGGGGGAAAGGCATCTTTGGGACCCAAGTCTTAAAGCTGCTACACTGGACATGCCGTGGGGTCTGTCCTCGTCTTCCTCCGCCATGGAGGCCTGAACCTCGGGGGTTTGTCCCCCTCGGCCTATGGACTTCAATTCCCAGAATCCCCCAGGCTGGTATGTGTGTGTGTGTGTGTATGTGTCAGAGTCACCCAACTCAGCCCAAACCCAGTAGGCAGCCTTACTTCTCCTCAATGGGCTCCAGCAGGTCCATGGCGGGCCTGATCTCCTTGTCGGGATTGTTGGTCTCCACGGTGGTGCTCACAATGGCGATGTACTTGCCCTGGGCCGCCACGTTGTGGGCGGACGAGATCATGCAGACGTAGATGTCTTTAAAAATAAAATAAAATAAAATAAAAGACGCAAAAGGTGGCAAAAAAAACCCCACAAACACACACAAAGGCACGGAGACAAAAGCCGCCAAACGGGCACGGCTTCGGCTAGGACAGTGTTTCTCAACCTTGACAATTTTAAGGCATGTGGACTTCAACTCCCAGAATTCCACAGCCAGCATTGCTGGCTGTGGAATTCTGGGAGTTGAAGTCCACATGCCTTAAAATTGTCAAGGTTGAGAAACACTGGGCTAGGAGATTTCTCTCTCTTCCCCCCCCCTCCAGGGGCTGTATTTGCTCCTCCCGCGTCTTACCCGACTTCCGGTTGACTTGGTTCTGGGGAATGATGATCTGGCAGGAGTTGGCGTCGTTGGTGTTCCGGATGGGGTGGTTCAGGATGCAGATGACCCGGATCACCTTGCCCATTTTCTTCACCCGGTCCGGGACGTAGCTGGGGTCGCAGATGAGCTGCTTGCAACGGGCGATCTGCGGCGGGGAGAGGGGAGAGGGGTTTGAGACCACCGAGGGATGGAAAACGGCAGAAGACGTGGGCGGATCTGGGAGAGAACGTGGGTAGCTTGGGATAGGACCATGGGGGGGGGGGTCTTGGGCGCTCTCTGAGCTGGGTGGTTTCCTTGCAGACTTTTCCTGACCCAACTAGTGCTGGGAGGGAGGGAGGGAGGAAAGAAAGAAAGGAGGAAAGAAAGGAGGAAAGAAAGAAAGAAAGGAGGAAAGAAAGAAGGAAGAAAGAAAGAAAGAAAGAAAGAAAGAAAGAAAGAAAGAAAGAAAGAAAGAAAGAAAGAAAGAAAGAAAGAGGACTGTGGGATCCTTGGTGTTCTGAGCTGGATGGTTTCCTTGCAGACTTTTCCTGACCCAACTAGTGCTGGGAGGGAGGGAGGGAGGAAAGAAAGAAAGGAGGAAAGAAAGGAGGAAAGAAAGAAAGAAAGAAAGAAAGAAAGGAGGAAAGAAAGAAGGAAGGAAGGAAGAAAGAAAGAAAGAAAGAAAGAAAGAAAGAAAGAAAGAAAGAAAGAAAGAAAGAAAGAAAGAAAGAAAGAAAGAAAGAAAGAGGACTGTGGGATCCTTGGTGTTCTGAGCTGGATGGTTTCCTTGCAGACGTTTCCTGACCCAACTAGTGCTGGGAGGGAGGGAGGGAGGAAAGAAAGAAAGGAGGAAAGAAAGAAAGAAAAGAAGGAAGGAGGACTGTGGAGTCCTTGGTGTTCTCTGAGCTTGTTTGTTTTCTTGCAGACATTTCCTGACCCAACTAGGTAACATCATCAGTGCTAGGAGTGGGGTTTGCCGGGGGGGGGGCATGGAGGAGGAGGAGGAGGAGAGGAAGGACGGTGGGGTCCTGGGGGCTCTCTGAGCTGGGTGGTTTCCTTGCAGATGTTTCCTGACCCAACTAGTGCTGGGAGGGAGGGAAGGAGGGAGGGAGGGAGGGAGGAAAGGAAGGAAGGAAGGAAGGAAGGAAGGAAGGAAGGAAGGAAGGAAGGAAGGAAGGAAGGAAGGAAGGAAGGAACAAGGACTGTCGGGTCCTAGGTGTTCTCTGAGCTTGGATGTTTTCTTGCAGACGTTTCCTGACTGAACTAGGGAACAGCATCAGTGCTGGAAGGGGGGGGGTTGAGGGGGAGGCACAGAGGAAGAGGAGGAGAGGGATTATGGGTTCCTGAGTGCTCTCTGAGCTTGTTTTCTTGCAGATGTTGCATGGGCCAAACTACGTAACATCATTAGAAGGGAGTGGGGTTTGCAGAGAGGATATGACAAAGGAAGTGGGGTTGTGAAGGGGAGAAGGAAAAGGGGAGGAGGAGGAGGAGTACTCTGGGGTCTTTATTGCTCTCTGAGCTTGCTTGTTTTCTGGCAGACGTTTCATGACCCAAGTAGGTAACATCATCAGTGCTAGAAGGGAGAGGGGTTTGCGAGGAGGAGGAAGACTGTGGGGTCCTTGGTGCTCTCTGAGCTTGGTTGTTTTCTTGGAGACGTTTCCTGACCCAACTGGGTAACATCATCAGTGCTAGAAGGGAGTGAGGAGGAGGAGGAGGAGGAGGACGACTGTGGGGTCCTGGGTGCTTTCTGATCTTGTTTCCTTGCAGACGTTTCATGACCCAGCTAGGGAACATCGTCAGTGCTAGAAGAGAGTGGGGTGTGTGGTGGGCAGGAAGAGGAGTCATCATCTCTGGTGCTCTGTGAACTTTTCTTCCAAACATTTCCTGACCCAACTAGGTGACATCATCAGTGCTAGAAGGGAGTGGGGGGGTCTGTGCTGTTGATACACCAATGGCTTGCCCGGTCAGTGTTGGTGGGGGTGTTCCTGCAGGTCCCTTGATCAGGTTGTTGGTGACTGATTGTTTGTCGAACGATAATTATTTGCTGCTGAGGATGCTCCCTAGTTGGGTCACGAAACACTCGCAAGCAAACGGCCCAGAGAGCGCCAAACACCCTCCAATTCCCTCTCCTCCTCCTCCTCCTCTTTTCATTCACTTCATCTGCACAAGTACCACACACACCCCACACACACACACACACACACACACACACACACCCTTCTAGCACCGGTGAGGTTGCCCTGATTGGATCACGAAACAATCCTTGATCTTCCGACTGATTCCTCAATGTTAAAGAATCCTTGGAGCGCTTTGGAAAAGAAGTCGGGAGGTTTCGGCTCATTCCCTGGACCAGAGGGGGGGGGGGATATATGTGTGTGTGTGTGTGTGTGTGTGTGTGTGTGTGTGTGTGTGTGTGTGTTTTCTGAGGTTTTTGCGGGTGTTTGTATATAGGTCTTTGGTTGTTCGGGTTTTCTCCCGCGTAAAATTGGAAGTGTCTTGGCGACGTTTCGACAAAGACCCATTCGTCATCTTCAGGCTGGTGTTTTCAGCTTCATGCTTCGAGCAGCTGCTCAAAGCACGAGCAATTTCCAATTTTATATATATATATATATTTGTTTTCTGAGGTTTTCGCGGGTATTTGTATGTAGGTCTTTGGTTGTTCGGGTTTTCTCCCGCGTAAAATTGGAAGTGTTTGGCGACGTTTCGACGAAGTCCCATTCATCATCTTCAGGCTGGTGTTTTCAGCTTCGTGCTTTGAGCAGCAATGTGTGGTCTTAGCTGTTTCTTCCTTTTAACTGCCAGTGGGGGTATGAACTGATTGGGTGGGAGCTTGACTGTGTTCTGATTGGGTGGAGGTGTGTTCTGAATGGTTAGGGGCTTGGCTGTGCTCTGATTGGCTGGGGGAGTGTTCTGTTTGGTTGTGCTCAGGTTAGTCTGAGTTGCAGAAGCCAGACCACAGCTGCATCATTAGCCACTTTAAATCCCTCCAATCCATACATGAAGCAAACTGACACCCTCCATGGAGAGGAGGCATGACCACGAACGCGAAGCCAAAAAAAAAAAAAAAGCAAGGCAGCCCAAAATCTTAAACCCCTCTTCAACTCAGACTAACCTGAGCACAACCAAACAGAACACTCCCCCAGCCAATCAGAACACAGCCAAGCTCCCACCCAATCAGTTCATACCCCCACTGGCAGTTAAAAGGAAGAAACAGCTAAGACCACACATTACTCCTCGAAGCACAAAGCTGAAAACACCAGCCTGAAGATGACGAATGGGACTTCGTCGAAACGTCGCCAAGACACTTCCAATTTACTTTACAAAAACAGCCTCACTCTACCTCGCCTTCCGATTTCACGCCGACCACTTTGCCGTTCTCTATGACAATCTCTTCGATGGGCTTGTTCAACATGTAGGTCCCTCCGTAGATGGCACTGAGCCTGCCGACAAAAGCAAAACAGACAATCCGGTTGGTCCAAAGTCAAAAAAACGATTTAAATGGCACCTTCGGCTGACCGAGCCCCAATGTGGACCATGATCTAAGGCACTGGTTCTCAACCTGTGGGTTGGGACCCCATTTGGGGTCAAACGACCATTTCACGGGGGTCGCCAAACAACGCAGCCCGCCATTTTTTTCCCCCTTTTCCTTAGCTGTGCTATTCCCTTTTAGTCTATTGGCTTTCCAAAGCCAATAGGAATTGTCCAGGCTGTCTCTGCCCTGCTGAGCCTGCCAAAAGTCCCAGTCTGCAAACGGTGCTGCACCAAACGGGCTCTGTTGACCAGACTTCTTTGCACGATCTCCGTTTCCCCAAACTGGAACGTTCCCGTGCCATCCCAATTGGGGGGGGGAGTTAAAAGAGGCAGCAGCCTAGCATTCCTACATAGTCATAAACAAACTAAATCTAATCTCCTTTGAATTTAGCCGGTCCTTATCTGCAACAACCTGCCTCCAGAAGCGGTGAATGCTCCGACACTGGAAGTTTTTAAGAAGAGACTGGACAGCCATTTGTCCGAAATGGTCTAGGGCTTCCTGCCTGAGCAGGGGGTTGGACTAGATGACCTCCAAAGTCCCTTCCAACTTTATAATAATAATAATAATATTGTTATTATTATGGATCATCGCACAGTCAGCCAGATGTTCAGACCGGATTTGGCATTTTTGTCTACCTATTGAGTCCTTACCCAGGACCTGGGATAGGCAGATGTGGATGTTTGATGGTATTACAGATATCGTCGCAGGATGGAAGCAGTTCCTAGTAAGGCCGCCTTTTGCAATTGACTAATAGCGAATTTGTCAATGCCAATGGTGTTCAAGTGGTGCTCCAGTTGTTTTGGGATTGCACCCAAGGAGCCTATGACTATTGGTACTACCCTTGCTTGCTTTTGCCACAGTCTTTCTATTTCTATTTGTAGGTCTTTGTATTTTGTTATCTTCTCCAGTTCTTTCTCGTCTATTCTGCCGTCTCCAGGCATTGCCACGTCCACTATCCAGACTTTTTTGTCTTTCTTATCGACAATTGTTGTTGTTATTATGGATCATCGCACAGTCAGCCAGATGTTCAGACTGGATTTGGCATTTTCTCTACCTATCGAGTCCTTACCCTGGACCTGGGATGATGATGATTAAATAAAAGGCTATTAATTGGACTTGGTAGCCCAAACAAGTCCGTCTCCCCCCCCCCCCAGCGAAGGTCTCACCTGGCGAATCCCTGGGGCAGCTCGCCCAAGCCATAGAGAGGGTAGAGGTAGGGACTTTTGCCGTATCTCGCCAAAGACTCGCTGTACAGTTTAATCCTGTTGATGGTTTCTTGGCAAGGTTGATCTAGATAGCTGAAAGAAAAAAAGAAAAGAAAAGAAAAGAAAGAAGGGAAGTTAGAAGAAAGGAAAGGGAAGGGAAGGAAAGGAAAGGAAAGGAAAGGGAAGGGAAGGGAAGGGAAGGAAAGGAAAGGAAAGGAAAGGAAAGGAAAGGAAAGGAGGGAAGGGAAGGGAAGGAAAGGAAAGAAAAGGAAGAGGAAAGGAAAGGAGGAAAGGGAAGGGAAGGCAGAAAGTTGAGATCATGGGTAGGCCAATATAACCTGGGACTACAACTCCCAGAATTCCTGAGCCAGCTATTATAGCTCAGGAATTCTGGGAGTTGAAGTCCCCAGGTTGTAAAGTCGCCATAGTGCCCTGGTTTAGACGAAGTGAGGGAAAACCCAGGCGAAGTGGGGAGGGGTCTCTCTCGGGGAGGGGGGTCCACTTACTCATCCGTCCTGTACAGGGCCAGGGCGTGGCCCGTGAAGTCAATCACATCCTGGCCGAGGTCAAACTTCTTGTAGACGTCGCGCATGGTGGTCTTCTTGGGGTCCACCCCTTCGAAGGTGCGGGCGTCGTTCTCGTCAAAGTTGGCCACGTAGACTAGAAACTTCCGGAAGCGTCTTTTCTCAAACAGGCCCATCAAACCTTCAAAAGGCAAAACAGCCCTCTGAGTGAGGAGGAATGACAAATGTGCGCTTCTCTCCTGGTTTGTTCTAGAGCAGGGGGAGGCAACCTTGGCTCTTTTATGACTGGTGGACTTCAACTCCCAGAATTCCTGAGCCAGCCACACTGAGGGGAAAGGGAGAGGTTTCCAAGCTGAGCCATGCTGGCTCAGGAATTCTGGGAGTTGAAGTCCACGAGTCATGAGGGGGCCATAGTTCCCTCATGCTGGCTCAGGAATTCTGGGAGTTGAAGTCCACGAGTCATAAAAGGGCCAAGGTTGCCTACCCCTGTCCTAAGTCCTCCTGTTCTAAGCGGTGAGCCTCCTAGACCAGGGGTAGGCAACCTTGGCTCTTTTATGACTCATGGACTTCAACTCCCAGAATTCCTGAGCCAGCCTGGCTAAGCTTGGAAACCTCTCCCTTTCCCCTCAGCATGGCCGGCTCAGGAATTCTGGGAGTTGAAGTCCACCAGTCATAAAAGAGCCAAGGTGGCTTACCCCTATCCTAAGAACTTAGAGAGGAGCATCAATGGGGCTCCAGCCAGTTCCCCCTAACTGTGGACTGGAGATTGTTCTGGAGTATAGGGAGTCCTCGACTTATAACCATTTGCCTAGTGACGGCACTGGTAAAAAAAGTGACTTCGGACTGTTTTTCACACTTACAGCCACTGCAGCGTCCCCACGGTCACGTGATCAAAACTGGCCACTGGGATGTATTTATGATGGTTGCACGATGTCCCGGGAGCATGTGATCTCCTTTTGTGACCCACTCACCGGCAAAATCAACGGGAGAAGCCGGATTCACTTAAGAACAGTTTTAAGAACTGCAGTGATTCACTTCACAATGGTATTAAGAACTTAACTGCAGTGATTCACTTAACAGTGTTAAGAAAACTGCAGTGATTCACTTCACAACTGTGTTAACTGCAGTGATTCACTTAACTAGTGTTAAGAATTTAACTGCAGTGATTCACTTAACAAATGTTAAGAACTTAACTGTAGTGATTAACTTCACCACAGTTAACTGCAGTGATTCATTTAACAGTTAACTGCAGTGATTCACATCAAGTGTTAAAAACTGCAGTGATTCACTTCACAAGTTAAGAACTTAACTGCAGTGATTTACTTCACAACTGTGTTAACTGCAGTGATTCACTTAATGCTAACTGCAGGGATTCACTTAACAGTTAAAAACTGCAGTGATTCACTTAACAAGTGTTAAGAATTTAACTGCAGTGATTCACTTAACGAATGTTAAGAACTTAACTGCACTGATTCACTTCACCACAGTTAACTGCAGTGATTCACTTAACAGTTAACTGCAGTGATTCACTTATCAAGTGTTAAAAACTGCAGTGATTCACTTAACAAGTTAAGAACTTAAGTGCAGTGATTTACTTCACAACTGTGTTAACTGCAGTGATTCATTTAATGTTAACTGCAGCGATTCACTTAAGAACAGTGGCAAGGAAGATCGTAAAATGGAACCCAGTGTCACTGAAGAACCGTCTTGCTCAGCAACAAAACTTCTGGGACTCCATTGTGGCTGTAAGGCGAGGCCTACCAATGCGATGATCCGGCAACCCCCATTGTGATCCCCCTGGTGGGATCCATCACGAGAAAGACCCATTGGCTTACTGGAGGCGAGGGCTTCCGCTTCGGTTGAAGGGACTTTATAGATCTTCCCGCCCTTGTAGACGAAGCTGCCTTCGATCACCTTGAAGTCCAGGTAGCGAGTCACCTCCGTGTACAGCAGCATCTTGACCAACTGGCCTGCAGGTGGAAAAAGAAAACAGGTCCCAGTATGAATCACCCAGTATGAACCCAGGCAGGCAGGCGAGGAATGCTACAGACGAGACGCCGCCGGTGGTTCAAGAACTCTGCGCTGGGGGGGGGGGTCCAGGAAGGGAGCCTTCTCCGTCTTTGCTCCCCATTCTGTGGGATATTCTCTCCTATCCCACCCCCTCCCCAAGAGGTGAGGCTAGCCCTCGCCTTCCTGGCCTTCCAGAAAAGACTCAAAACGTGGCTGTCCTGGTTCCGACAGAGGAGACTCTTCAAAGAACTTTGAGGCATTGTTTACCTTAAGGAATCTTTATTCGAGTAGCATAATGTATATAGACATTAAGCCAAAATATGGATTCCCCTCCCCTGATCACATAGTATCAAAGCACAATTCCCTCCTCCAATTCACAGTCATAAATCACATTCCCCAATTCGCTTGAAATGCAGGCTTCCCCTCCAGTTCTTCCACCCGCCATTCCTTATCATCTCTTATTTCAAAAACCCTGGTTCTCACGCTAATTACAGTATTGTTATGTCTAGCTAAACTCTCGTGCATCTTCCTCCTCCACCCCCCCCCAGTCTCATCTAATTCTAACTCTAATTCTAAGAGTAAAACATAAGAAGGAAAATGGCTGCATCTTCATCTGTTGTCCAAGCCAGAACGTCCGGTGTTAGCAGCGTTGACAATGGCTTGGGGTGTCTAGAGCAGCGGTTCTCAACCTTTTTAATGCCGCCACCCCCCAACCGGTCGTAAGTCGAGGACTACTCAACCGGTCGTAAGTCGAGGACTACTCAACTGGTGCAGCACCGTTTGCAGAATGGGACTTTTGGCGGGCTCAGCAGGGCAGAGACAGCCTGGACAATTCCTATTGGCTTTGGAAAGCCAACAGAATTAGACTCTATTCAAGAGAGTCTATTCTATTGGCTTTCAAAAGCCAATAGAATAAAAGGGAGGAGCACAGCTAAGGAAAAGGGGGGGGGGGAAATGGCAGACTGCGTTGTTTGGCGACCCCCGTGAAATGGTCGTTCGACCCCCAAATGGGGTCCCGACCCACAGGTTGAGAAGCACTGGTCTAGAGGAACATGCAGCCGTGGGGCCGATTAGCCCCCCCCAGAAAGCCCCACCTCCTTTTAAAGTGCTTTTATTTTTCAAGAGGCAAATGGACTTTCCTGTTTCCTATAGAACTTTTTAATTGAGTCTGTCGGCTTCCATTGTACTAAGTACTGCAATTTCCCTTTAAAAATCCTAGAATCAAGAATACGCTTTACTTCGTAGTGGGTCTGACCCGCCACCACAAGGGGCCGGGGTTCCACTTTAAGGCCTTCCCCTAAGAAGGTCGTAAGTTGAGGACCCACCTGCAAGATAAAGGAAATCCATTACGCAGCCCGGAGGGATAGCTGCCGTGTGTGCTGCAGCATTTTCAGAGGGCTGAGACACAAAAGAAGTAGCAGTAAAGGAAAGCCACTGTTTTATTTCTAGCAGGAGAAGAAAGCAGTCAAGGCCGTTTCCGGCCACTCACCACAGGCCATAAGAAATTTGGGGATCAGATCGACGTTCCAGTCTCTTCCTCGGCCCATCGACTCCGGGACGACTCCTGGCATGGAAAACCTTTTGTACAGCTTTTAAGAACAAGAGGAGGTGAAGTTAGGAGGGGTTGGGCACTTCGCCCACCTAGGAAAAAATATCTGTAAACTGACCAGAATCAGAAGGGAACCAGAAGGGAAAGAGAGAAAGAAAGAAAGAAAGAAAGAAAGAAAGAAAGAAAGAAAGAAAGAAAGAAAGAAAGGAAGGAGAAAGGAAGGAGAAAGGAGGGAGGGAGGGAATGAGAAAGAAAGAGGGAGAGAAAGAAGGAAGGAAAGAAAAAGAAAGAAAGAAAGAAAGAAAGAAAGAAAGAAAGAAAGAAAGAAAACAGAGGAAGAGGGAGAGAGGGGAAGGGAGGAATGAAGGAAGAGAAGAAAAAAGGAATGGGAAAGAAAGGAAAGAAAGGATGAAGGGACAGGGAAAGAAAGAGAAAGAAAAAAGGAAAGCAAGCACGAAAGGATGAAGGGAATAGGAAAGAAAGAAGAGAAAGAAGAGAGAGAGAGAAGGAAGAAGAAAGGAAGGAAGGAAGGGAGGGAGAGGGGGGAAAAGGAATGAAGGAAAGAGAAGAGAAAGAAAGAAAGAATGGGAAAGGAAAGAAATAAAGGATGAAGGGATTGGGAAAGAAAGAGAAAAGAAAGAGAAAAAGAAAGGAAAGCAAACAAGCAAGAAAGGATGAAGGGAATGGGAAAGAAAGGAGGAGAAAGAAAGAAAGAAAGAAAGAAAGAAAGAAAGAAAGAAAGGAGAAAGAAAGAGGAGAAAGAAAGAAGAAAAAGGAAGGAAGGAAGGAAGGAAGGAAGGAAGGAAGGAAGGAAGGAAGGGAGGGAGGGAGGGAGGGAGGGAGGGAGGCAAGGCAAGGATACTCACATCTTCCAGGGGTGTAATAGAAGCACTTTCCCCTCCATAGTAAGCATTGCGGTCCATGTGCAGGACCTTTTTGCCATTCACCGACATGATGCCAGAGAGGATGCATTCCTGCAGAAAGCGCAGATATCAGAACAAAATCAAGCAGGGGGCTGGACTAGAAGACCTCCAAGGTCCCTCGCAGCTCTGTTATTCTACGTTATCCTTTGCCTTCCTGCCTTCTGATGCGGCCCCCACCTGCCACACACTTCCCTCTAGAAAGCACAGCTGTTGTGTTGGACTGTCGTCCAGGGGCTCTTTGGCCAGGCTGCCAAGAGACTAGCTGGACTTGGATTGTCTGGTAAACACAAATAATTGCTTTTATCTGTGTCGGTTCACAACAATAAAGGAACTACACTTGACTTACAAACACTGACTTACAACCTTGACTTGCAACAATTCATTTAGCGATCCTTTGAAGTTTTACAACGGCACCGGAAAAAAAAGGGACTTTAGGACCGTTTCAGCACCCCACACGATCAAAATCGGACGTTTTATTCCCAACAATTGTTCCACTGCAACTTCCTACACTTATTTTCCAAAACAAGGTCAAGAAGCGTCTCACTCAAAATAAGTGTGTCCTAAACAGTGAGAACAATTAACCAGTGGAACAACCCGCCTCCAGAAGCAGTGAATGCTCCAGCACTGGAAGTGTTTAAGAAGAGACTGGACAGCCATTGGTCCAAAATGGGATAGGGTTTCCTGCCTGAGCAGGGGACTGGACTAGATGACCTCCAAGGTCCCTTCCAACAGTATTATTATTATTACGGATCATCGCCCAGTCAGCCAGACGTTCAGACTGGATTTGGCATTTTTGTCTACCTATCGAGTCCTTACCAAGGACCTGGGATGGGCAGATGTGGATGTTTGATGGTATTACAGATATCGTCGCAGGATGGAAGCAGTTCCTAGTAAGGCCGCCTTTTGCAATTGACTAATAGCGAATTTGTCAATGCCAATGGAGTTCAAGTGGTGCTCCAGTTGTTTTGGGATTGCACCCAAGGCGCCTATGACTATTGGTACTACCCTTGCTTGCTTTTGCCACAGTCTTTCTATTTCTATTTGTAGGTCTTTGTACTTTGTTATCTTCTCCAGTTCTTTCTCTTCTATTCTGCTGTCTCCAGGCACTGCCACGTCCACTATCCAGACTTTTTTGTCTTTCTTATCGACAGTTGTTAAGTCTGGGGTGTTATGTTGCATGTGCTTGTCTGTTTGAATTCTGAAGTCCCAGAGCAGTTTAATTTTATCATTTTCTATGACTTTCTCTATTTATGATCCCACCAGTTTTTGCTTACAGGCAAATGATATTTTTTGCAGATCTTCCAATGCACCATTGTTGCTACTTTGTCATGCCGCTACTTGTAGTCAGTCTGTGCAATCTTCTTGCAACAGCTTACCAGGTGGTCCACTGTTTCTTCAGCTTCTTTGCATAGGCAGCACTTACTGTCTGTTGCTGTCTTCTCAATTTTGACTTTGTATGCATTTGTCCTTAAGGCTTGGTCTTGTGCAGCCAGAATTAGTCCCTCGGTCTTTTTCTTCAATTTTCCTGCTCTTAGCCATTGCCAGGTCTTGTTATTATCTGCTTTCCCAGCTATTTGTTTAATGTATTGGCCATGTAATGCTTTGTCTTCCCATGCCTCTATTCTGTTCTTCATTTGGTCTTTCTTGTTGTTCTTGTTGTTGTTATAATAACTCCGTTTCTTTTCTTTTCATGGTGTAAGCGGGAGAGAATGGGAACAATGGCCGCGTTTGAAGGACTGGTTAAGCCTGTGAGTGTCTCCACTGAAATCCTCTGATCCATCATAAATATATTTCTAACGAAGGACCAGTTGGATTAGGACCCCAACTTGCCTTGCTGCATTTTAAACGTTCTGTATCTAGGATGCTGAAGGTACAGTAATGGCCAAAATTGTGGAAACCTTTTGGGAAAAGTGTATTTTTGAGGTTTGATGGCTAATAACACCACTTTTTTGCGGGGGGAGTAGTACCATAAAATTATATATCGGTGGAAAGATAATTTAATCAAGAATGTAACGCAACCAAGTTTGTTCAATTATCTGTACTGTGTTCTATGAAAAGTTATAGCCAAATAACCAGAAAAAGGAAGCACAACTTGCTTAGGTTGATCTCAGGTAGCTTTCCTTCATTTGATTGTAGCCAATCAGCGTTTAGAAAGCCAATCAGGTGTCCTCTTGTTTTGGCCATGAGCCAATCAGATCACAGCAGGATCCAGTTATTGATCTCATGTATTGAAGCTGAGAGGAGGACATTTGTCAGTGTGTTATGTGATGGCTATCAAGTTGGTTGGGGGTTTTTTTTGCGTTCTTTCATTTAGTGAGCTTGTTAAACATAATAAAATTAAAGTCATGGTGCAAAGAGTTGACTGGTCACCCAGAAAGCGATGTAAACTAGTCTTATTAAGTGAACAAGGCTACAATTATAAAGAAATTAGAAGAAAAATGGGTGGAAACTTAACCAAAGGTGGCATTTCTACTGTACACTTTTAGTTTCCACAATTTTGGTCAATACTGCGCAAGCAGAAGATGGACGGTAGCAGCCAACGGGAGCAAAGCAATCCCAATTTATGGCAGGGCTCTCCAACCTTGGCACCTTTTAAGACTTGGTGGACTTCAACTGCATCCAGTTTTGGTCACCACGGTGTAAAAAAAAAAATGTGGAGACTCTAGAAAGAGTGCAGAGAAGAGCAACAAAGATGATCAGGGGACTGGAGGCTAAGGCATATAAAGAACGGCTGCTGGAATTGGGCATATCTAATTTAATAAAGAGAAGGATGAGGGGGGGACAGGATAGCAGTCTTCCAGTATCTCAGGGGCTGCCCCAAAGAAGAGGAAGTCAAGCTATTTTCCAAAGCGCCTGCAGGCAGGACAAGAAGCAACAGATGGAAACTAACCAAAGAGAGAAGCAACCTAGAACTAAGGAGAAACTTCCTGACAGTGAGAACAATTAACCAGTGGAACTACCTGCCTCCAGAAGCGATGAATGCTCCAACACTGGAAGATTTTAAGAAGCCACTGGACAGCCATTTGTCTGAAATGGTATAGGGTTACCTGCCTGAGCAGGGGGTTGGACTTGATGACCTCCAAGGTCCCTTCCAACTTTATTATTATTATTATAACTCCCAGAATTCCTCGGCCCTCCTCTATTTAAAAGGAGCCCCAATTTGACAGCCCCCACCCCCAAATCCCTCCCAACAGAGTTCCAAGCCAGCGTCGCCAAGTTAAAAAGTAGCAGAGGTGTTTGCTAAGAGCAGGCAAGCCGGTTCTTGCCCTTGGCTCTCCCTGCCTCTTACTTGAAAATCAAGCTTTATAATTAAGGTGGAGGCTTATCTTGCAGCTTAAGCTTAAGCGTACTTTTTTTTTTTTTTGGGGCTCTGCAAGCATCCCATACTGTTGCTGGGTGCAGGAAAGCTACAACTTGGCACCCAGATGAAATTGCAACAGGAAGGTTGCTCAACCGGAGGTGGGGAAGAATTAGGCCCGAGCAAAGCAAGGGAGGGAAGCAAGGAAACATAAAATCTGATCTGCAGGGCTATCACCAGAGGGCAACCCATTCGTAGGCTGGAATCGCTCAATTTAAGGGGGGGGGGAAATCAATTTTTGCAGCAGAATCCAGATGGATCCGAACCCCCTTTTCCAATCAAAGTGAGAGGCAGGTACAGGTCGTCCTCAACTTACAACCGTTCATTTAGTGACCGTTCAAAGTTACAACGGCACTGAAATAGGATAGGATGAGAATAGAATAGAATAGAATAGAATAGAATATAGAATATGGAATGGAATAGAATGGAATAGAATAGAATATAGAATATGGAATAGAATAGAATAAGGAATAGAATACAATAGAACAGAATAGAATAAGAAACAGAATAGAATAGAATAGAACAGAACAGAAAAGAACAGAATAGGATGATAATAGAATGATAATAGAATAGGATGAGAATAGGATGAGAATAGAATAGAATAGAAAATAGGGAATAGAATAGAATAGAATAGGAGCTGGAAGGGAACTTGGAGGTCATCTAGTCCGACCCCCTGCTCAGGCAGGAAACCCTACACCAGGCGTAGGCAACCTTGGCTCTTTTATAACTCGTGGACTTCAACTCCCAGAATCCCTGAGCCAGCCTGGCTCATCATGGAATCCTCTCCCTTTCCCCTCAGCATGGCTGGCTCAGGAATTCTGGGAGTTGAAGTCCACCAGTCCTAAAAGAGCCAAGGTTGCCTACCTCCGCGCTATACCATTTCAGAAAATGGCTGTCCAGTCTCTTCTTAAAAACCTCCAGGGATGGAGCAGCCACGATTTCTAGTGGCAGGTTGTTCCACTGGTTAACTGTCCTCACTGTTAGGAAGTTTCTCCTTAGTTCCAGGTTGCTTCTCTCTCTGATGGGTTTCCATCCATTCCTTCTTGTCCTGCCTTCGTGTTCTTTGGGGAATAGGTTGACCCCCTCCTCTTCCTTGGGGCAGCCCCTTAAATACTGGAAGATACTGCTATATCGTGTCTCCCCTATTTCTTCTTTTCACACTGGCCACCGTGGCAGCAACCCCGTGGTCACGTGATCAAAATCCAGATGCTTGGAAACTGACATGGACTTATGACAGTTGCAGCGCCCCAGGTTCAGGCGATCCCCTTTTGCGACCTTCCGACAAGTCAAGTCGAGGGGGAAGAAGCTGGATTCACTTAACAACCATGTGACTAGCTTAACAACCGAAGAGATTCACTTAACGACTCGAGCAAGGAAGACGGCAGAATGGGGCAAAACTCAACTTAAGCAAGGGTAAATTTTGGGGCTTCCTTCAGAATTCAGTGTTTCTCAACCTTGACCATTTTAAGGCACGTGGACTTCAACTCCCAGAATTCCACAGCCAGCGATGCTGGCTGTGGAATTCTGGGAGTTGAAGTCCACGTGCCTTAAAATGGTCAAGCTTGAGAAACACTATAGGAACGTTTGATTATTATATATTGGCCTTATTTTCTCAGGGATGGAGCAGGGGCTCCATCCCTGAGAAGGGAATGCTGGATAAACCGGGATAAAAGGAAGCCCAGTTTTCTTGGCT